TGAATGCAGTCTCCGCTAACGCCGGAACATTGCCTTTAAATTTCAATCATGTTGTAACCATGAACCTCCACGATACGGATTTAATAGAGCCCTTAGTTTTCTATACCAAAGAGTGCAAATCATGCCAAAATAATTAAATCCAAAAAGTTTGACCTTGAGAACAGTAACACACCACAGTTTGACAGCTGAGCAGCAGAAGTCCATCACACAACTGAAAGGTGACTCCATACGCAACAGTTACTGGCAGGGGAGCCTCAGGCCATGTCAGAAACAGATGACTCTCAATCCTTCTTAACTCACTATTACTGTGTTTTTCTATTTCAATTCAGTCATTAATTTCACTAAGCCTTCGAAGACCTCCTGTAGCTCAGTTGGTAGAGCATGCCGCTTGCAACGCCAGGGTTGTGGGTTCGATTCCCACGGGGGGCCAGTATGAAAAATGTATGCACTCGCTAACTGTAAGTCGCTCTGGATAAGAGCGTCGACTAAAATGTAAATGTAAGACTTTCAAATGGCAAAAAATGAGTTTCACTGAGCAAAACCCATTAGTGGACTATTGGAGTACATAACATGGTTTTATAGATGCTGTAAATGTGCAGATATTCAAACGCTTTGCCAAAAGAAATAGCAGTGGACATTTAGCCAGTTTCTGTTTAATGACGTTTGGCGTTAACAAACTGTCACCTCAGTACATACTGATTTGCTTTTACTGGTTCAACTTATATGGTTGGATTCACAGCCATAGTAACCACAGAATGGAGGACATAATATTTTAAGTGTGTTGTTGTATTAAATTTGTTCAGCAGCGCATGGTATCAATCAGTGGATTAAAGAGATCAAATCCAGTTTCCAATATCAAAGGTAGCTAATGTGTGAAATAAATGAGTTTCAGTGAATTCACAGAGACATATGCTACCAATTGCATTCAAAGCTGCCTTTGTGCTCTTTGTTTTGAGTACAGGATGTTATTAATGTTTCACTGATTTGCACTACAGAATGATGTATTCTAGTGCTGGACGCTTAACTTCCTATTGAGTTCCAGTTCACTTAACATACAGTAGCCTGGACACTATGTATAAAAAAGGGTACATTGTTATGATCTAATACAATATCCGGGCCATGTGTGCAACTTTTCACTTGCAGGTCACCCACTGTAATTGTCCCTTAAAAGCCCAGTGCAGTCAAAAAATTTGATTTCCCTATGATTTATATACACTGCTCAAAAAAATTAAAGGAACACTTAAACAACACAATGTAACTCCAAGTCAATCACATTTCTGTGAAATCAAACTGTCCACTTAGGAAGCAACACTGATTGACAATACATTTCACATGCTGTTGTGCAAATGGAATAGACAACAGGTGGAAATTATAGGCAATTAGCAAGACACCCCCAATAAAGAAGTGGTTCTGCAGGTGGTGACCACAGACCACTTCTCAGGTCCTATGCTTTCTGGCTGATGTTTTGGTCACTTTTGAATGCTGGCGGTGCTTTCACTCTAGTGGTAACATGAGACGGAGTCTACAACCCACACAAGTGGCTCAGGTAGTGCAGCTCATCCAGGATGGCACATCAATGCGAGCTGTGGCAAGAAGGTTTGCTGTTTCTGTCAGCGTAGTGTCCAGAGCATGGAGGCGCTACCAGGAGACAGGCCAGTACATCAGGAGACGTGGAGGAGGCCATAGGAGGGCAACAACCCAGCAGCAGGATCACTACCTCCGCCTTTGTGCAAGGAGGAGCAGGAGGAGCACTGCCAGAGCCCTGCAAAATGACCTCCAGCAGGCCACAAATGTGCATGTGTCTGCTCAAACGGTCAGAAACAGACTCCATGAGGGTGGTATGAGGGCCCAACGTCCACAGGTGGGGGTTGTGCTTACAGCGCAACACCGTGCAGGACGTTCGGCATTTGCCAGAGAACACCAAGATTGGCAAATTCGCCACTGGCGCCCTGTGCTCTTCACAGATGAAAGCAGGTTCACACTGAGCACGTGACAGACGTGACAGAGTCTGGAGACGCCGTGGAGAACGTTCTGCTGCCTGCAACATCCTCCAGCATGACCGGTTTGGCGGTGGGTCAGTCATGGTGTGGGGTGGCATTTCTTTGGGGGGCCGCACAGCCCTCCATGTGCTTGCCAGAGGTAGCCTGGCTGCCATTAGGTACCGAGATGAGATCCTCAGACCCCTTGTGAGACCATATGCTGGTGCAGTTGGCCCTGGGTTCCTCCTAATGCAAGACAATGCTAGACCTCATGTGGCTGGAGTGTGTCAGCAGTTCCTGCAAGAGGAAGGCATTGATGCTATGGACTGGCCCGCCCGTTCCCCAGACCTGAATCCAATTGAGCACATCTGGGACATCATGTCTCGCTCCATCCACCAACGCCACGTTGCACCACAGACTGTCCAGGAGTTGGCGGATGCTTTAGTCCAGGTCTGGGAGGAGATCCCTCAGGAGACCATCCGCCACCTCATCAGGAGCATGCCCAGCCGTTGTAGGGAGGTCATACAGGCACGTGGAGGCCACACACACTACTGAGCCTCATTTTGACTTGTTTTAAGGACATTACATCAAAGTTGGATCAGCCTGTAGTGTGGTTTTCCACTTTAATTTTGAGGGTGACTCCAAATCCAGACCTCCATGGGTTGATAAATTTGATTTCCATTGATAATTTTTGTGTGATTTTGTTGTCAGCACATTCAACTATGTAAAGAAAAAAGTATTTAATAAGATTATTTCATTCATTCAGATCTAGGATGTGTTGTTTAAGTGTTCCCTTAATTTTTTTGAGCAGTGTATATTTCCACACTATGAGGTTGGACTAATACTGTGAAATTGTGAAAATGATGATAATGCCCTTTTAGCGTAAGAGCTGTTTGAAAAGCCCGTCTGAAATGTCCACCTGTTTTGGGGCCTCCTGTGTGGCTCAGTTGGTAGAGCATGGTGCTTGCTACGCCAGGGTTGTGGGTTTGATTCCCACGGGGACCAGTTCGAAAAAGAAAAAATATTTATGCGCTCACTACTTACTGTAAATCACTCGAGCGTCTGCTAAATTACTCAAATGTGGGATGGAGTTTAGGAGGCATCACCAGGCGGTAAATTAGTTAATAGACCAATAAGAAAGAGTTCCAAACCTCTCTGCCAATAGCAGCTATTTTTCAATTCTCCCCTCCCCACTCAGACCACTCCCAGACAGTCCTAACAAAATTCTTGCTTGAGAAATTGCTCTTTGCTAAGCTAATTTTGTTTATTTTTAACCATTTTAATTGAAAATAATCACTGTAAGGTACTTAATTGTTACCCAGAAATCATTTGATATTGAGATTTAAAAAACGGCTGCATTGGAGCTTTAATAAAACATATGCTCCCAATCTGCACAGAGGGGTGATGTCAGACTTAACAATGACAAACTCGATTGGTACTCATCATGCACATGTTATTGGACCTTGCTATTACAGCAGACACAAGCACTCTAGAGAAGCAGTATCTATGTCATTAAAATACTAATCTACAACACTGTAAGAAAGAGAAACACCTTAATGACAACCAAAAGGACCAGAGGAAAAGGTAGGGAAATGGTACATAGATGAAACAACCTAGCACAAATCCCACTCCCCTCTTTTTCCTACTTAATGTAATTCTTTCAATGTGTGAATGAGATTATTGTTCTTCATAAAAAAACAACAACATGGGAAACAGCCTATTTTTCCATACGTGACAGGGGTAGGTGTGAGAAGAAATATGGCGGAAGTGAGAACATCCTTGTAAAGGGAATAAATAAAACTGAAGAGAGGAGAGAAAATTAGGGATGAGGACAATGAGCAAAGGAGAAAGTCATAGCAACAACAGTTAGGGAAAGGGAAGGATAATGGGAGAAAGAGAGAGTGGGCAGCAAGGGAGAAGAAAATATGTGGGATGCTTGTTGCTAGGGCAGCCATAAACACTGTCAAAAACATGGCCCTGACCAGAGAAATGACTTCACTGGTCGGCAGCTGTGACACATAGCAGAAGAGAATGAATGAGGGAGATACACAGTCATCTCTCATGTTTACAGATAAACAACACACGTAAAGTAAACAGGGGGCAAACCCCACATTGTGCAAGATAAAGCACAACAACACACTCATCTCTTGAAATTACTGCTGAAAATGTTGAGGCATATGACACACGGATCAATGCTGGGCAACACGGCAACCCAGCTGGGTCCCATTTCCCCTATGAGAAAATATATTATACAATGGAGAAAAACTCGGAGAACACCCCCACATTGGATTAATTGAGTAAACCCTGAAACTACTGCTTTTAAATTAATGGTAATACTGGTGTTTTCCAATACATAGATTGAAGAATAACAAGCTGATACTGTTTTTGTTTTAATAGCATCTTTTATACGTTTTTTTTTTATTTATTTTTATATACTGTAGAGGGTAGATCAGCTTAATATTGCAGATAGATTGTAACTTCCATCAATGTAATTGTCTGCATCACTTCTTTTATAAGTTGGTTTCTCAAATGATCACATACCAAAAAAGGAAATTGCGAAAGTTGGAACGTGAATGGCTGACCATAGTTGAGTGGTGTTGCCAGATGCTGTGTATACTGTAATGTTTTTTTGTGTGACACCATTTGTCAAAGCTTTGTGATCTAATGGGTTTCCCCTATATGTTAATAATGAAATACTTTCACAATAGTACTATTACATCATTGGAATATGAGGCTGTTTATCTCATTGCCAAGAAAATAATAATATTCAAAAAAGCTGCCCACCCAAGTTATAATTCCCAACAGAGACATAATGTTTCTATTTTGTCTGATGATGTTGTACTGCATAGCTGTTGACTTGTGTAGTAATGTGATTGTGAGGCCCATTGTGGACAATACATTTGAGTCCAGTTGCTAATTTAGAGTTGGCTCGGTTGACGTTGCCAAAATATCTCAATATAGGCTTCGGCTTGACAGAATTTGTAAATTAAACTACTCTCCCTGGTGGTAAGCATACAGTACATGCACCCATTCTATATAATCTTTAACACAGGTTCTGACTACCATTACTTTAGCAAATTAATTGAAATACCAGTAGGCCATTTAATCATTATTATTATTAATCCTCCTGATATCTGTTCTAACATTGACTTTATCGTTTTCTGTGCCACACAGAAAGAGGGCGATCAACAGATAACATCTCAAGTTGGAGGGAAGCTCGTGACCTACACCCAAACAGGGCTGGCGGCCGGGCAAGAGTACACAGTGACAATCAAGGGAGAAATAAATGGGAGAATGGGCACTGAGAGCACAGCAGAATTCACAACCCGTGAGTCAGGAAACCACATTTTGTATCCCCTTATTATCATCTGTTACTTCGGTTATCAATATATATAAATGCTAAGTCGTTTTTTCCCAATGCTTTTCCCCGACCCACCACCCAGTTATCTCTGGACCCACAAACCTTCAAGTTGTGAAGACAACCACAACATCTGCAGTTGTCCAATGGGAACAATCGCAAGGAGACATCGACAGGTATCGCTTAACTGTTGCACCCAATCAGACAGACGGAACAGCCAAGGGAAGACAAGACCTGACCCTGCCCCCTGAGAGGGACTCTGCCCAGATTGACGGTTTGGACCCGGGGCATTTGTATGACATTACACTAGTGGCTGAAAAAGGCAGGATCAAGAGCAAGCCAGCAACAGTCCAAGTCACACCTGGTGAGTTTTATTGGATGAGGGGGTTGCTTACTTTAGTTACTACATTGCATATGAAAATATCCAGAAAATAGATTGTATAAGAAGCAATCTTTATTTAGTGTATCATATTCTTTATTAGTTTATTTGGAAATAATGACCATAAAAAGTATAATATATTTTAAGATAAGAGTTATACAGTCATGAAACAACAAATAAATTGTGAACTAAGCAGAAGAAGCAGGAGAGAAAGAGAAAGTCATCATTATGTTTAAAAAGAGAGAGAAATCTATGAAACAAATTGGATTCCCTGGCAATGTGAATGAATATGCAAGGGAGGCCAGTCCTGCTCCTGTGAAGTGTTATCCCACTAAAGTTAACATGTCTAGGCAAGTCATTATTCAATAGAGCAGGTCACTGGAAGTGAAATGAAAATAGCTTGAAATGAATTGAGGTACAATATAAAAACTCCTCCTGGAGCTAAGCTGATCTCTCTTTGTAAAATATATTTTCATTTTCATTCTTTATGTTTGATGATTTATGCTTCTCTCTTTCTCGACAGTTGCAGCACACACTTAACTCACAACATTGAATATTTCAGCACCCGAACAATGAATGGCAAGGTTGTTTTGATGTCCAAATATAATAATCTTTCCACTTTTCCCTGCAGGTTTAACAGCATACAGTGGGGGAAAAAAGTATTTAGTCAGCCACCAATTGTGCAAGTTCTCCCACTTAAAAAGATGAGAGAGGCCTGTAATTTTCATCATAGGTACACGTCAACTATGACAGACAAAATGAGAAAAAAAATCCAGAAAATCACATTGTAGGATTTTTTATGAATTTATTTGCAAATTATGGTGGAAAATAAGTATTTGGTCAATAACAAAAGTTTCTCAATACTTTGTTATATACCCTTTGTTGGCAATGACACAGGTCAAACGTTTTCTGTAAGTCTTCACAAGGTTTTCACACACTGTTACTGGTATTTTGGCCCATTCCTCCATGCAGATCTCCTCTAGAGCAGTGATGTTTTGGGGCTGTCGCTGGGCAACACAGACTTTCAACTCCCTCCAAAGATCTGGAGACTGGCTAGGCCACTCCAGGACCTTGAAATGCTTCTTACGAAGCCACTCCTTCGTTGCCCGGGCGGTGTGTTTGGGATCATTGTCATGCTGAAAGACCCAGCCACGTTTCATCTTCAATGCCCTTGCTGATGGAAGGAGGTTTTCACTCAAAATCTCACGATACATGGCCCCATTCATTCTTTCCTTTACGCGGATCAGTCGTCCTGGTCCCTTTTCAAAAAAACAGCCCCAAAGCATGATGTTTCCACCCCCATGCTTCACAGTAGGTATGGTGTTCTTTGGATGCAACTCAGCATTCTTTGTCCTCCAAACACGACGAGTTGAGTTTTTACCAAAAAGTTCTATTTTGGTTTCATCTGACCATATGACATTCTCCCAATCCTCTTCTGGATCATCCAAATGCACTCTAGCAAACTTCAGACGGACCTGGACATGTACTGGCTTAAGCAGGAGGACACGTCTGGCACTGCAGGATTTGAGTCCCTGGCGGCGTAGTGTGTTACTGATGGTAGGCTTTGTTACTTTGGTCCCAGCTCTCTGCAGGTCATTCACTAGGTCCCCCCATGTGGTTCTAGGATTTTGGCTCACCGTTCTTGTGATCATTTTGACCCCACGGGGTGAGATCTTGCGTGGAGCCCCAGATCGAGGGAGATTATCAGTGGTCTTGTATGTCTTCCATTTCCTAATAATTGCTCCCACAGTTGATTTCTTCAAACCAAGCTGCTTACCTATTGCAGATTGAGTCTTCCCAGCCTGGTGCAGGTCTACAATTTTGTTTCTGGTGTCCTTTGACAGCTCTTTGGTCTTGGCCATAGTGGAGTTTGGAGTGTGACTGTTTGAGGTTGTGGACAGGTGTCTTTTATACTGATAACAAGTTCAAACAGGTGCCATTAATACAGGTAATGAGTGGAGGACAGAGGAGCCTCTTAAAGAAGAAGTTACAGGTCTGTGAGAGCCAGAAATCTTGCTTGTTTGTAGGTGACCAAATACTTATTTTCCACCATAATTTGCAAATAAATTCATTAAAAATCCTACAATGTGATTTTCTGGAGAAAAATAATCTCAATTTGTCTGTCATAGTTGACGTGTACCTATGATGAAAATTACAGGCCTCTCTCATCTTTTTAAGTGGGAGAACTTGCACAATTGGTGGCTGACTAAATACTTTTTTTCCCCACTGTATAGGCCAACTATTGTCAATGCAGGTGTTGTTGGAAAACAGGATAATTAAAAGTGTTCAGTTAAAATGTAATATTTTTGATTTTCCCATTTGGATCTAACAGTGCTTCCCTCTTGTAGTTGGATCAAAAAACATTTTGTTATCTTTGATTACAAATGATCGCTTCATGCCTTTAGGAAGATCCACAAAGACAATATCCAGGGTGACCATGGACACTGTGACCATACAGGTAGCACCAGGAGTAGAAAGCCATGATGAAGACCCAGCAGGGAATACAAAGCCTGTGAAGGCCATCTTCTACTCAAAGGCCAATGGTGAAGAACCAGAGCGTGGAAAGAATAGCAGTGGACCAGGCTCTGTAACAGTCAAAGGCACCAATGGAACCAAAGAGGTCCCATCTGTTACAACCAGCACAAGACCACTTGTCAACACAAAATACAGGGTTGTACATAAACCAGGTGATAGAATAACCTTGCCCAGGAAGCCATACATTGGAGGCTCTATCCGTTTCAATGGTACAAGAGTAGGCCAGGGTGGGAGGAGAGTGGGTCACAGTCTTCTGAAAAAGCCTTCAAGCAGAAATCCATTGGAGGGGCCAAAGGTCAAGAAGACCTTAAATACTGACACTAAACCAGAAAATCCCATTGTTGGGGACAGGACTATAGCTATAACTGTGAAAGACACTAAGCTGAAGACATGTCCTCTTGGAGAAAAAGATGGAACTTCGACAAAGACATATCCTGTTGGAAGCCTTCCTGAAAATGCCACTCCGAGCTCTGGTTCTGAACAACCAACAGTGATTCCCGGCTTAAAGGACCTACCTGATAGAAAAAAGGGTACAGAGACTGAAACAAATGAGCCAGGACAAGGGACAGATGGTCTGGAGCCTACAACCACATCAGAAAAGAATACTACTGTTCACCTGAACGGGAAGAAATGTGTCAACAAGATTAAATTGACACACAGGAAAGTCAATGTGACCCGTAGAGAGAGAGTCATTGGGGGGAGGGTCAATGGCACAATAGTTAAAAGTAAACCCACAACAGAGCAGGGGTTTGCTGAAAAAGAGGACAGTGCCCTAAAAGTGTCTGAAACAAGACATTCCAAGACTACATTTCCTGAGCGCAACCTGTTAATTCACACACAGAGAAAAGCAGATGACATTGCTCCACACACCACACAAAGTCCTACATATCCAACTTTCTCTTCACCTTCACCAGTATCACCTACTTCCTACATGTCACTTATTTCAGCTCCTGCAAAACTTGATGAATCAATGACCGGTATCGGTCAACCCATGGCTGACAGAGATGTGGTGAATACAAAGACTTTGCCTGTTCCCCAATCCCAATCCTCTAACCTACCTCCAGAAGGGGAACCAACATCCTCCAGCGAATCAGAACAAAATGGCAATAGACCATCTCCTTCCAACTCTGAGGACTCATACTCAGATAAAGTGAATGTTGCTGTAGCAGATGTGGGTATCAGCAGAGATGGAGAGAAAACAACTGACGTGGGATTGTTTGGAACCAAACAAAACAAGACAAAGACTTTGAGAGTGGGTGGCACACCACCTTTTCGACGCCTACCTCCAAAGGGGCCCTACCAACGCCGCCCAAACCTAAATATGAGACCATTCCAAAACAGGACACGTTCACCTTCTTCAGTTCCCACAAAACAAAATGAATCAAAGACCGGTATGGGTCAACCCATGACTGACAGACAAGTGGTGTTTGCAAAGACATTGCTTGTTTCCCCAGCCCAATCCTCAACCCTCCATCCAGATGCTCAGCCAGAGAGGGCACCAAAATCCTCCAGTGAATCAGAACAGAGTGGCAAAGAAGACTATTCATCATCTTCCTCCACTTCAGAGGAATCAGACTCTACTAAAGAAAATGTTGCAGTGGCAGAGGATGGTATGAGCACAGACGGAGACAGGGCAACTTACGTGGTGTCGTCTGGAACTGAACAAAACAAGTCAAAGACTCTGACAGTGGGTGGCACACCACCCTTACGCCGTCTACCTCCTAAGTGGACTCAGCAACGCCGCCCACACCCAAATATGGGACCATTCCAAAACAGGACACGAACAAACCTGAGACCCCCACAGCATCAATCAAGAGGCCCCATACGCAGACCTTTCCCACCTAAACTGACAAACAGGGACAACGGCATCATTGTTCAAACCACTCAACCGGTGGAGCAGGGCTCCTACAGCACCAGCCAGAATGACACAAACACAGACCGTAAGCCCAAAACTCTCCTCAAGAGAACAAATGCCACAGCTAGTAAAATAGCACGAGGTCAAACATATATGAGAAATAACGGTAGTTTGAGCCAAAGGGGCCAAGATTCAAAAACAGGTCATCATGACAAAGGTAGCCAAGTGAGTAAGACTGCTGATTCAAAAGACAGCCCAAACCAGATAAATGGATCAGATGCCACTACTACTGGAAAAACAGGCCAGCCTCTAAACTCAGTGGGGGTTCAAAGCATAACCTCAGGAGGTTTCGTACTTGTTTGGGGAGCACCAGAGGGGATGTACAGAAATTTCATAGTAACCCGGGAAGAGCATGGAAGTAAGAATGAGGCAGAGAAAGAGGAGGAAGAGGAAGTGGAGGAGAGGGAGAGTGAGTCAGAGGAGGATAGTGAGGAGGAAGGGGAGGGGGAGGGGGAGGCAAAAACTGAGAAGGAGAACAACGGGAATGAGGAGGAAAGTGAAATGGGGGTGAGTCAAGGTAAGGGGGGAGTGGAGGAGAACACTGTTACCAATAGCAAAAGTGATAACCATAGACAGAACAGCAACAGTAATACTTTGGCTAAAGTTGGTGACGGGGGTACAATCAAGTTCTCCAAAGTCCTTCCAGGGTCGGCTCGCTTATTCCCATTCCAGAATCTCCATCCACAGACACGCTATTCCCTGTCCGTGTTTGGGAAGGGTCCCGGACTACGCTCCAAAATTCACAGACTCATCGTCAGCACAGGTACTTGCCATAGTTAAATCTCTACCAACTACTACAAGGGTTCATTAGCTCATTGTTCAAGCACAGGACTTCTCTTTTCTTGAACTATGCAAGTTATTCAAGACACCCAAGTTAGATGCCGATACATCCTCACACCATTTTAGGTGAGGTATACTTACACAGCTGCTTGATCCATATCCATTTCAAGAGCTGTCACACTCTTGATACTGTAACTTCCTGAATTACAGTACTTCATCATGTTTGTTGTTAATTTGCATCATCTGCTTATTGATACCGTGAGCTGTGTTTCTTTTGGTTTGTCCTTGACAACCAAGAGCTTTTAATTAAAGCAATGGTAAATCAATCCATAGCTTTAATTACAAATTATAAACTGGGTGGTTTGAGCCCTGAATGCTGATTGGCTGAAAGCCGTGGTATATCAGACCGTATACCATGTGTATGACAAAAAAGTACATTTTACTGTTGTAATTATGTTGGTAACCAGTTTATATTAGCAATAAGGCACCTCTGGGGTTTGTGGTATATGGCCAATATACCATGGCTAATGGCTGTATCCAGGCACTCTGCGCTGTGTCGTGCGAAAAAGAACAGCCCTTAGCCGTGGTATATTGGCCATATACCACACCTCCTCTGGCATTATTGCTTATATGCAATGACCAAACAATCATGCATCTGTGCTAATCATTGTTTATACCATGTTGTGCAGTGATTAGTGCAATTGTGATGTGTGGTGTTCATACTGGGTGCATTGTGGAAAAACAGGTATGATTGCCAAAACATGGGCTGTTCCTAACTGGGAAACTATTTGAAGCACATCCCATCAGAAAATGTGAACATGAGTTCATAATCTCCAAAATGTAGGTTATGTTGAGGGATACTCTTTCATTAAGGTAATTTCCGCTATATAATATATAATAATTACTTTTGTAACAGTTGCAGATGCAGGTTTTTGATCAGTGATAAATCTTACACAATCAACACGATTACATAGCCTCCCTAGTCCATATACGACATATCACATACAGCCTGTGTTTTCCATTTTGTACATGGACAGTATGTCAACCCAAACACATCCATGTGTTAAGCACATACAGTGCCTTCAGAAAGTATTCACACCCCTTGACTTATTCCACATTTTGTTGTGTTACAGCCTGAATTCAAAATGATTTAAATATATTATTTTCTCACCCATCTACACACAATACCCCATAATGACAAAGTGAAAACATGTTTTTAGAAATTTTACCAAATCTATTGAAAATGAAATACAGAAATATCTCATTTACATACGTATTCACACCCCAGAGTAAATACTTTGCAGAAGCACCTTTAGCGGCGATTACAGCTGAGTCTTTTTGGGTAAGTCTCAAAGAGCTTTGCACACCTGGATTGTACAATATTTGCGCATTATTCTTTTTTAAATTCTTCAAGCTCTGTCAAGTTGATTGTTGATCATTGCTAGACAGCCATTTTCAAATCTTGCCATAGATTTTGAAGCCGATTTAAGTCAGAACTGTAACTAGGCCACTCAACATTCAATGTCGTCTTGGTAAGAAACTCCAGTGTAGATTTGGCCTTGTGTTTTAGGTTATTGTCCTGCTGAAAGGTGAATTTGTCTCCCAGTGTCTGTTGGAAAGCAGACAACCAGGTTTTCCTCTAGGATTTTGCCTGTCCTTATAGCTGTATTCCATTTCTTTTTATCCTAAAAAACTCCCTAGTCCTTGACAAGCAAACCCATAACATTTTAGTCATTTAGCAGATGCTCTCATCCAGAGCGACTTACAGTTAGTGAGTGCATACATTTTTAATTTTTTCATACTGGAATCGAACCCACAACCCTGGCGTTGCAAATGCCATGCTCTACCAACTGAGCTACATCCCTGCCGGCCATTCCCTCCCCTACCCTGGGCCAATTGTGCGCCGCCCCATGGGTCTCCCGGTCGCGGCCTGCTACGACAGAGCCTGGATTCGAACCAGGATCTCTAGTGGCACAGCTAGCACTGCGATGCAGTGCCTTAAACCACTGCGCCACTCGAGGGGCATAACATGATGCAGCCACCACCATGCTTGAAAATATGAAGAGTTGTACTCAATTATGTGTTGGATTTGCCCCAAACATAACACTTTGTATTCAGGACAAAAAGTTATTTTCTTTGCCACATTTTTTGCTGTATTATTTAAGTGTCTTGTTGCAAACAGGATGCATGTTTTGGAATTTGTACAGGCTTCCTTCTTTTCACTCTGTCATTTAGGTTAGTATTGTGGAGTAACTGCAATGTTGTTGATCCACCCTCAGTTTTCTCATATCACAACCATTAAACTCTGTAACTGTTTTAAAATCACCATTGGCCTCATGGTGAAATCCCTGAGCAGTTTCCTTCCTCTCCGGCAACTGAGTTAGGAAGGATGCCTGTATCTTTGTAGTGACTGGATGTATTGATACTCTACCCAAAGCCTAATTAATAATGTCACCATGCTCAAGGGGATATTCAGCATCTGCTTTTAATTTTTACACATATACCAATCGGTGCCCTTCTTTGCGAGGCATTAAAAAACCTCCCTTGTCTTTGTGGTTGAATCTGTGCTTAAAATTCACTACTCGATTGAGGGACCCTATAGATAATTGTATGTGTGGGGTACAGAGCTGGGGTAGTTATACAAAAATCATGTTAACCACTGTTATTTAACACTATATGAATCCATGCAACTTATTATGCGATTTGTTAAGCACATCTTTACTCCTGAACTTATTTAAGCTTGCCATAACAAAGGGGTTGAATATTTTTTGACTCAAGAGATTTCAGCTTTAAATTTTTTATTAATTTCAAAGATTTTCTACAAACGAAATTCCACTTTGACATTATGGGGTATTGTGTGTAGATCAGTGACACAAAATCTCAATTTAAATCAATACAAATCCAGGCTGTAACACAACAAAATGTGGAAAAAGTAAAAAGAGGTGTGAATACTTTCTAAAGGCACTGTACTAATGAAAATTACTCTATTCATGAGACAGTCTAAAAGACTTCAACCATTCAGCCACAACCGCCATTCACTGCTGGTCTGATCTTCTCTCACTTAGGGTAAGCTTTAAGTCAGCAACCTTCATTGGCTCCCTTCATCACTCACAAAACCCAGGGTAAGACCATGGTTGGTCCCTATGGTTTTTCCTGATCTTAAGCGTGAAATGTACAGATTTTAATCCTATGAGTCTTTTTAAAATATATTTGTAAAAATAAATAAAAAAGAACGGAATTCTACAAGCTTTTAACGATTACATAGTTTTTTTGTTTTTTCAGAGGGTGAGGTCTCAAATGGTATTTGGAATCATTATGGCAGGATTCTTCTCACTCAAGGTTGAAAATCTGTTGGTCAACACATTTCTTATTCCTTAGAAATTATCTTTCTCTTGCTTTATCTCTCCTATTCTTGTATTAAAATAATTTGGGGTATGTATTTGTTATCAACATCACTTCAATTTTTCCTGTCTCCTGTTATAACTATTTTAACTTTTTCTCTTTCCTGCCAACTTCTTTTTTTTTTTTTCAGGATCAAAAGACCAGCTCAACATTAATATTTCATCCTTTTCCCTTGCTGCTTTCCAGGGTCCAACATCTGCATTTAACAGTGAAACCTTTGTCTGTGTTAGTATATGCTATACTGTGTATACTGTATATATGTTTGCACTGTACATATATACCCAAACTCAATGGAGCACTAATAATAACAGCGTGAGTAAACAAGAAGTACAATATAAAAGTATGGGTGCACCTACATTTTAGGGTATATTGATCTTTCTTCTCCGTATATGTAGTATGACTTACCTCAAGTCTCCATTTTCTCTTTCTCAAATATATTCTATATTTTTCTATATTCTATATATTCTATATTTGTCTTTCTTACACTTTTTATTTGTCTTTATTTGTTTTTATGTGTCTTTCTGTCTGCGTTTGTCTTTCTATCTTTTGTTTCTCTTTTTCACTCTCAATCACACATAATATTCCCCTGCCATGCCCAGGTCCAGAGCCTCCCTCAGGTCTTCTCTTCAGTGAAGTGACTGAGACGTCTCTCTCTGTGTCCTGGACCAAGCCAAAAGGTCCAGTGAGTGGCTTCAAGGTCACCTACACTCACACACAGGAAGGTAGGTGCTTACACTAATGTTCTGTTGGTCAAAATCCTGGCTGTTGAGTCACATCAGTTCATTGTGTATTCACATCGCAATTTGCCCGTTCTATTCAAGGGGAGCCTCTCTCCGTAACAGTGGACTCTGTGGATTCCACTCTGCCACTGACAAAGCTCTCTCCAGGGTCCTCCTATGAGGTCAGCGTGATATCCGTCCTTGGACTGGACGAGAGCGATGCAATCAAAGACCTGGTTATGACACGTAAGTTTACTTCAGTCATACTGTTGACTTTCAGTTTTAGGATTAATGCTAATTTACAGGAAGTTGTCAGATTGTAAATTATAGGAAGTTAGACTATCAACAGCCACTTTTTTTGGTCCTTGGTGGTGTCTTGGTCAACAAATTTAAGTTAAGCATTAAAAACCACATTAGAGATGTATTTTTTGTTTTGTTTCTTACTTTCGTGTGTATGGTGTTTTTCTCTGCATTTTATATGGGTTCTGTGTTCTCATAATTGTTCTAGCAGGTGCAGGATCTGAGAAAGATCTGTGCATTTTCATATTTTCTCAAATGGTCTATCCTGGAGCTGTTTCAACTTCAATTTCAAAATACTTTATTAGCAAGAATGAGATTCCTATGTATGTTGCTAAATCTAATGATATATCGAAGGGGTTTGATTTCACATTGTGATAACTAACGCTCCCTTTCTCTTGGCTTCATTTTTTCAAACCCAAACCGATCTTAGTCCCTGACCCTCCAACGGATCTCAGGGCCATTAATGTCACAGACACCAAGGCCTTGCTGCTATGGCGACCAGCACTGGCAACGGTCGACCGTTACGTCATAGTTTATGGCTCTGAAAAAGGTAAGGGGTATCATAAGTTGGATATCCATTACAACAATACCCTGTGGGGCTTTTAGAGCATTTCCTTTCCAGTTGGAGCTTTCCACAGGCAAGATGAGATCATAGTATTTGTATTGGACAGTCAGTTTATGACCACCCCAACAGCATTACAATATAAACACTGAGAAATAAATTAAATCCTGCTGCCTACCTCTCTCCCCTGCCACTCACCTGCTCTCTCTCCGCCGCTTACTTGTTTCTATGTCAACCAAGGGTCAGATGATGCGAAGATCACTGTATCGGGCAACGCGGCGGAGCAGCAGCTGAAAGGCCTGCAGGGCTCCACTATGTACACGGTCACAGTCACCAGTCAGCTGGGCAACCTGGACAGCTCTGCCGCCATCACCGTCTTCACCACCACCGGTGGTCAGTCCGCACACACACCCTCTCAAACCACCTTAATGCTTAAACCAATCAACTCACCTAAGACCGAGAAGAAAAGGAAGGCTGATCTTTCCATTGAATCCCACAACTGAGCTTCTTGTGATTGTGTCCATGTCCATCTGGCAGGATCCGCGAAAGTCGGGGAAGTCCCGCGTGACCTGAAGGCCAGTCAGGTGACTCCTCGCTCAGCGTTGTTGACATGGAAAGCACCCTCTGCCGCCGTGGGAAGCTACAAGCTGACCTATCAAACGGAGGGACAGGAGATGCAGGTGAGGAACACTGATTAAAAGGTGGAGACAGACACACATTCTATTTTATTCAGTATAGTAAATTAGGACAAAATGCAACAAACTCTGGTCTAGACAGATTACCTATTTCTTCTCAACAGGAGGTTACCATTGACTCCACAGTAACAGAGTTCAAGTTAACCAGGCTGCATCCCATGTCCAAGTACACGGTGCAGCTACAGGGAGAGAGGGGAGGGAGCTACACTGCTACAATTTCCACTGAGTTCACCACAGGTAAGTGGTATTTGACTTTATTAAAAAAAACGTTATAAAAACGAAATACATACATCGAAAGCACAGCTTCATAAAGTTGGGCTCTCTTTTTGATTTTGTCTGTCAGGGAATCTCCGATACCCCTTCCCAAGTGACTGTTCCCAGGAGCTGCTAAACGGGATACATGAGTCTGGAGAGGTGGAGATCTTCCCCAAGGGAAAGCAGGGAAAACCAGTGTTGGTCTACTGCGACCAGGTGACTGATGGAGGCGGCTGGACGGTAAGAGAAGATGATTGTGAGAGGGACCATGTGTCTATACTGTTGGTGAATAGAGAGATTGGTATTTAAAATATATTCAGATGTAGACAATAGATTTAGCATAATTTGTGGCAAATGAAATACATTTAACTGCATAATGGCAATATCCCTTAAAGGAAAATACCACTCAAAAACTATCTTTTGCTATTTTGTATTTCATTAGTCCACTGTAGATACAGTCCCAAAATGTTTTGCATGTCTGCAATCAAGTTTTCAAGATATAGAACTTTCAAAATAAGTTTATCTTGAAGACTTGATTGCTGACATGCAAAAAAAATTGGGACTGGATCAAAAGTGGACTAATGAAATACCAAATACCAAAATAGTTTTGGAGTGGTATTTTCCTCTAACTGACATGAGAGGGAGTTAACGGTTGGTTAAGGATGGTATATGTCTGCTGTATGAGCGTGTGTGCTTTACAGGTTTTCCAGAGAAGGATGGATGGGAAAACGGACTTCTTCAGAGGCTGGAAGAACTACAGCAAAGGGTTTGGAGAACTGAGTGGGGAATTTTGGCTGGGTGAGAGTCATTCATCACACTAAGTTTGTTTTCACCCACTTCAGCAGCAGTGCACCAGCATAACATCAAACAGAACTGTTATATTGACGACTCAAAAGCTAAACTGTCACTCTTATGTACACAGTGCATGACAGATCAACTCTGTAAATAGACCCATTGCTAGGCAGATAAATTAAACAGTATAACGCCAGATGAGAAGGATCAATTTAATGTGGAAATGTATGGCAAGAGGGTAGAAAAAAAGCGACTACTGGCACTATTGGTGCACAAACAGAACGACAACCAAGAGCAGTAGCAGAGGGCCTATCATTCATCAAAGCCCTTTAACTTTATTGGAGCGATTGGCTGAGCATTAGCGCTGGTAGCGCACTATCCAGTATTCTATCATTGAGGGGCATCATGCTCATGTCTACTGTGTAGATCTGATGAAAATAAGTCTTCAGCACCCCCTAGAGGCAACACATATAGTTTACGTCAGGAGCTCGGCAGTAAACAGTTTTTTGTCTGCTATAACACCTTGTTTCCCACTCATCTCTATCCATCTATAGGTAATGACAACCTACACAATCTAACCAGCATGGCACCAATGACACTACGTGTGGACCTCCGTGCAGGGGACGAATCAGTGTTTGCCAAGTACTCTGTATTCACAGTGGACACTGTTAGGAGGAACTATGCTCTCAAAGTGTCTGGGTACAGCGGTACAGCAGGTGAGAACAGAATGTGTTCACTAAAAAGGATTGACTTCTTATTGTGCATATTTCCACATAATCATTAAACCCATCCCTTCTTCTTTTCTCATTATCCCTCTCTTCCACACCTCCTGTTTCCCTCCTCACACCTGCCATCTGTCTTTCCACTCTACCTCCCTTTTCCCATTCCCTCTCTACTTTTTCGTCTTCGTAGGCGACTCTATGAGTTACCACAACGCACGCCTGTTCTCTACCAGAGACAGAGACCCCATGCCTTTCATCACCCGCTGCGCCATGTCCTATAGAGGGGGTTGGTGGTACAAGAACTGCCACCAGGCCAACCTTAATGGCCTCTACGACACCAGTGTGAATCACCAGGTAATGCCAGCTGACTTCATACCTCATTTCACTATTTCAGAGTCTATGTCACCAAAGTATTCCAAGGCAACTCTTCGAGAACAATCAATTAGATTTTGGGGTTGTTTGTTAACTGAATTGTCTCTGTGTCTCAGGGTGTGATCTGGACTGCCTGGAAAGGAAAGGACTTTTCCATCCCTTTCACTGAGATGAAGCTCCGACCAACATCTTTCACCCCTCCAACTCAGGGATAATGACAAAGTGGTGGACAGAAAATGAGAAGGGGAGAGAGGCACAATTTATGAACACAGACACACATCCAGGTAACTGCCCAAATACAGGAAACGTCAACATAAAGTGTCTTGATAGGGCGTTGGGTCACCACGAGCCAGAATAGCTTCAATGCGCCTTGGTAGAGATTCTGCAAGTGTCTGAAACTCTATTGGAGGGATGCGACACCATTCTTCCACGAGAAATTCCATCATTTGGTGTTTTGTTGATGGTAGTGGAAAACGCTATCTCAGGCACCGCTTCAGAATCTCCCACAAGTGTTCAATTGGGTTGAGATCTGGTGACTGAGACACACACACCCTTTAAACCCCCGGTGCTCTTTTGAGACCCCTCTTACAAAATCACTGAGATCTCTTCTTCTAGCAATGGTAGCCAAATGAATGGGCAACTGGCTATTTTTATACATGGCCCTAAGCATGATGTTAATTGCTTAATTAACTCAGGAACCATACCTGTGTGGAAGCACTTGCTTTCAACATACTTTGTTTGTATCCCTCATTTACTCAAGTGTTCTCTTTATTTTGGCAGTTACCTGTACATAAGCACACACGCAAACAAACACACCCTCAATCACGCATGCATAGACAGTACATGCACCTATTAGCTACAGTTTGAAAATCTCCCAATGCCTTGCTCTCCAGACTAAAGCAATTAGATTTTTTCAAATGTATAGAGGACAGTTATCTGTATGTTATATTGTACAGTTTCTAGATTATCTTTGCGATTTCCCTTATTATTTTTAAACTCTAAGTGTTGTGGCACCCCTTGCGTCAGCTGTAAAAATGTATGCACTGTCCCCTGGCTATGATGGTACAACCGTGGAAATGAGCGCGTGAATAATGGAGATTTCTGTTTGTACTTGACTGGTAATTATCGAGTTCTGGTGTTTGTCCTTTGTTTGTCTTATTTGTGGTTGTTTGTCCTGTATTTTCTGTTGCCCCAATTTTCAAATGGTAATTGCTACAATAATAAAATAATGGTGGAACATGGGCAGCAGAAGCCGCTCACTAAAATGACTTTATTTATTTTTTGCTTTCTGTTTTCGTATATTCTGTCTGCTTCCAGTATTGTAAATGGGCTAATAGCTCAACATCAGTCTTTATTTATGTTGCTGACACAAAATGCACTGGGTGTACCGTTGTATGAGCAAGTACTGTACGTAAGTGAGGTTCTCACTGATATAAGCTAGGTGATAGATTTGGAGACCTTGAAGATAAACTGTGCAGTCACAAGGCGTGACAATACAGAGTTATTTTTTATGTTGAATACCCAACACTCCTCACTCTACCAAACTCCCCAATTAGTCCCAATGTGGTCCCACTGGCCATTACTCACTGACAAAGATTACACCTACTGCACTTTTTCTCTTTCCATGACATAGACTTAGCAGGTGAATCCAGGTGAAAGCTTTGATCCCTTATTGATGTCACTTGTTAAATCCACTTCAATCAGTGTAGATGAAGGGGAGGAGACAGGTTAAAGAAGGATTTATAAGCCTTGAGACAATTGAGACATGGATTGTGTATGTGCAACTCAATATTAGGAAGGTGTTCTTAATGTTTTGTCCACTCAGTGTATATGTATGGACTGTGTTCCATTTAATTCTGTGGATGGAGTTTTAATATTTCATTCAATGGGATTGATACCTCTGCACGGAATGTTCATTACATCAACCGTTATGACATTGTTCACTGCATGCATCACTACATGCAATGTTCCAAGCACACACATTTCCTCAAACAGGTACACATTTCCTTCAGATCCACCATGCCGAAGAGAGGGAGAAAGGTATGATTTTAGAATTAAAAAGACAAATGTGTAGAAAACATTGATATTACAGATTATTATTAAACCATTATGGTTTATTTATGTACTGCTAATGTAAATAGGATGAGCTGGTTTTAACAATGTGTACATATTTCTCACAATACACAGAAGAGAACAAGAATCATGGCTAAATCTACTGAGGCTCCCAGGTAACGACCTCTCTTTCTACCTAACACACACACACACACACAGACACACAGACAGACAGACACAGACAGAGTCCATTTTACCTGGTTATATGGTCAAATCTTCACAGGGATGCTGTAACAGCCCAGGTGGAGGTTCCTGTACCAACCCAGGTTTCTGATCAGCAAGTCCACGTGAGGCCATTGGTGAAACCTGTGGTGAACCATGTGGTGAAGCTTGTGGTGAACGCTGTGGTGACCCTATTGCAAAAAGTATGTACAAAATCATATTAGGTCATTTAAGAGTCTAATGTGTTACATAAGAATCAAATATGTTAACTTAGTGACATGTGATATTCATTTGTATAGCAATTGACAACAACCATGTACTTTCAAAATCCCTGTCAGTTATTTCATTTACTTGCAGCAAGCCGTTGCCAACCCACTTGAAGCTGCTAGGCGACATGGCTACAACGTGGACAAATTAGAACAAGTAACCGGCATAACATCCTTCTGGCTCAATGTGGCAGAGAGATTCATCAACGATGTGTGTGATAATGTCCTTCAAGTTCTGCAGGATTACAAGTCTAAAAGGATTCCTGTAGATCTCTCTGATTTCGCTTCAATTCAAGATGCTGGAGATCAGAGAGTCTTTAGGCAGTGGGAGGACTACACAACGGATGAGTTTACCTTGATTGTTGGCCGTCTGACTGGGCTTGTCCTCAATAACCTCATGGATAATTTCATGAAGGAGTGCAGAGGGGACATCAGTAAGCACGAGTGTCTGACAGAGCTGGGTTTCAACATGGACATCTGCAATTTTCTTCGTGGATGAGCGGATTTCGCAGTCAGCATGACCGTAGTAAACGGACAGGAGATTAGTCGCACTCCGGGACCACTGCCCATGCCCGCTGTTGGCCAAGGCGCCATTGTCGAGCAACGCCGTCGCCCGAGAGTGCTCTCACATCCACAAAGACGGGTTTAGAGGAGAGAGCAGGAGTCAACAGAACAGCCAACTCTGGATCAGAATCCTCGGGGCCCTTAGTCGCCAAGAACAAATGTCAGGTAGCCAGTAGCACACAGAGACGCCCCACACTGCAGCAGGGACAGAAAGAGATCACAGGTTTAGTGATCCAAACAGTTCTACAGTCGATTGCTGATCTTGGTAGGCATGGCAATCTGCCGAACACCATCCACTGGACTGGACATCTGCAAGTGTCAGCCTCTGACAAGAACAAAACATGAGCATACTGTATTTCAGTTCTAGCAAAAAGGAAGAAAAACTGTTTGACAGGGGAATAATTTCTAACTTTGATTTATTAGTTGGCAATAAAGGCATTTAAAAAAGCTAATCTTGGTTCCTTTACCAATTATTCCAATACACATTATTATCAGTATGTCCAATTATTAACAGTATGGGTGTTGAGATTTGCAGTAGGCCTAAATATTGCACATGGTCCTTTCTGGAATAACTTTGTTTGTCATGCTACTGCTACATTAGAAAACGTTTGGTATTTGTTGTTGATTGGAGCCGGTTGCCCTCAATGTAGTTGCACAGTGTCCTATTAGTAGCCAGCTTTCACGTTCTTCAACTGAACAGCCTATGAACACTGTGGACACTGTTGCACATGGACAGCTCCCAGTGCTGAATTGCCAAATTCAGAATGTAGGCCTGCTTCAACATCAATGAGTTATTATTTGTTTCTCCAAACAAAATCAAATTGTAATTCTGGAGCAGGGGAAGGAATGTATGAAAATGTATGCACTCACTAACTGTAAGTCGCTCTAGATAAGAGCGTCTGCTAAATGACTAAAATCTCAAATCTAAGGAACTGAACATAAAGAGACATAAATCAGTGTGGTGTCTTCTGCTTCACATTCCTTATCAAGCCACTAGAGCCCTCCATTCTCATTGCATGTGGTGCTGCATGCCATGGTCATGTCTCTCAGTCAGATAGTACACGTGGAAAGGATTTGATTTGCTCACCTCCTGCGTCCTCTCTCCTCCGTCCTTTTTTTAAAAAAAAGGTAAAAGGTCATTGTTCAAAACCCCTCCCATTCCCCTCCTACCTGGAGGGGAGCCCTCCCCTCATTATTCGCCACACACCTCCATCAAAGCTCGTTAAGAACAATCCGGTCCACCTGAAAGAGGCAGGGCTACCCCTTTAAATGCCCCACCTGCAGTCATTAGTCCTCTTTCAACCAAACAGCTTTGACCTCTAGAGAGGCGTTATTGACTGTGAGTATTGCATGAATGTGGTGGTGTGGTGGGGGCCAAGGTATTTCATTCGTATTGTTGTTATGTAGATTTATATTGTTTGACTGTTGTGCATCTAAGTGCAATTCCCTTATTTGCCAGTTGTGTAACACTGTAGTGTTCAGAGTATTTATTTTGGGTAGGTTTGCGCTTTATTTATCATATGCCTCTGTTTTTTCATTAACATGTTTCTGTCTGTACCTAGACATCACCATCCTCGTCGACATCTTTCATCTGTCAGCTGTGACATTCTCACCATTTGAAGCCTACAAAAGACAAACAAACCTGTTTTTCAATAAAGTCAAAAGGCTACCCTCTCCTTGTGATCTTGCAGACATGCCCATTGTTGCCTCCCACTCTTCTCTTTGAGCTTTTTTCCAGTAATTGAGGATAGAGAAAGTGGATGAAAATGCGCTTGTATTAAATTACTCCTTCTCCAATTGTGCGTCATCTGGTAAATGGGGACGGGGGAGCAGGTAGCTGACTAGGGGTGGCTGTTCAGCAGCCTGATCTGGGGGTAGAAGTGATTGGCCTGTCTGACCGTTTATGCCATGATGCTCCTATACTGCCCACGTCTGAGTGATGGAAGCGGGTAGAAGAGGCCGCTTCCATGCAGCCCGACAGCATGGTCTCGATGAGCTCCTGTAGAACACTGTGGGCCCTTAGAGGTAGGCTGAATTTCTTCAATTCCTTAGGTTGAAGAGTCGCTGTCGTGCCTTCACCACAGTGTCCGTGTGGTTTGACCATTTCAGCTCCCCGGAGATGTGTATGCCGAGAAACTTGAAGTTTTTGACAATCTCCACAGTGGCCCCACTGATGAGGATGGGGCGTGCCCAACCTTGTTCCTCCTAAAGTCCACAATCAGCTCATTGGTTTTGCTGACGTTGAGGGAAAGGTTGTTTACCTGGCACCATGCCATAAGTGCCTACCTCCTCTCTGTAGGCAGTCTCGTTGGTAATCAGGCCTACTACTATAGTCATGTCGTCAGCGAACTTGATGTTGGAGTTGGAACTGTATGAGGCCACGCAGTCATGGATATACAGGAGGGGACTGAGGACGCACCCTTGTGGGGCCCCCGTGTTGAGGATCAGTGAGGTAATGTTGCCTACCTTCACCACCTGGGGGCGGCCCGTCATGAAGTCCAGGACCCAGTTCCATAGGGAGGAGTTCAGTCCCTTGAGCTTAGAGGGCACTATGGTATTGAAGGCCAAGCTGTAGTTGAACAGCATCCTCACATATGCATTTATTTTTTTCCAGGTGGGTGAGGGTAGCGTGCAGTGCAATGGCGACTGCGTTGACCGTGATCGGCCGGTGCAGTAGGCGAATTGGAGAAGGTCTAGTGTGTCAGGGAGGAGGTGATGTGGTCTTTGACTAGCCCCTCGAAGCACAGGCATCCCAATTTGGAACTTTTCACCAAATAGTCTTTTGACCAATGAGATCAGCTCTGATGTGATCGGTCAAAAGACCAATTAGTGGAAAAATATCAGCATTTGGCTACCTGTTGAAACGCAGCCATAGGGGGGGACACAATTTTCCATTTGACCTGTAGTGGGGTACTGTCCTGACATCACAAACCACACCCTAGCTACACGTACAGGGCCTTCAGAAAGTATTCATACCCCTTGACTTATTCCACATTGTGTTACAGACAGTATTCAAAATTGATTAAATTGACTTTTTTTTCTCTCACCCATCTACACACAATACCCCATATTTTTGTACATTTATTGAAAATGAAATATATCTAATTTACATAAGTATTCACACCCCTGAGTCAATACATGTTAGAATCACCTTTGGCAGCGACTACAGCTGTGAGTCTTTCTGGGTAAGTCTCTAAGCGCTTTGCACACCTGGATTGTACAATATTTTCCCATTTATTATTTTCAAAATTCTTAAAGCTCTGTGAAATTGGTTGATCATTGCTAAACAACCATTTTTAAGTCTTGCCATAGATTTAAGTCAAAACTGTAAGTCTGCCACTCTGGGACATTCACTGTCTTCTTGGTAAGCATATCCAGTGTAGATTTGGAGTTGTTTTAGGTTCTTGTCCTGCTGACGGGTGAATTTTTCTCCCAGCGTCTGGTGGAAAGCAGACTGAACCAGGTTTTCCTCTAGGATTTTGCCTGTGATTAGCTCCATTCTGTTTAGTTTTTTTGCTTGAAAAACTCCCCAGTCCTTAATGATTACAAGCATACCCATAACATGATGCAGCCACCACTATGCATTAAAGTATGGAGAATGGTACTCAGTAATGTATTGAATTTGCCCCAAACATAACACTTTGTATTCAGGACAAAAAGTTAATTGCTTTATCACATTTTTTTGCAGTATTGCTTTAGTGCCTTGTTGCAAATAGGATGCATGTTTTGGAATATTTGTATTCTGTACAGCAGGGTTCTTCAATTCCGGTCCTGGAGGGCCGAAACACCTCTGTTTTTCATCATCTCCTTCTAATCAGGGGCTAATTCAGACCTGGGACACCAGGTGAGTGCAATTAACTACCAGGTAGAAATAAAAAACAGAAGTGTTTCAGCCCTCCAGGACCGGAATTGAAGAACCCTGCTGTACAGGCTTCCTCCTTTTCACTCTGTTAATTAGGTTAGTATTGTGGAGTAACTACAATGTTGATCCATCAGTTTTCACCTATCATAGCCATTGAACTCTGTAACTGTTTTAAAGTCACCATTGGCCTCATGCTGAAATCCCTGAGCCATTTCCTTCCTCTCTGGCAACTGAGTTTGGAAGGACACCTGTATATTTGTAGTGACTGGGTGTATTGATACACCATCCAAAGTGTAATTAATAACTTCACCATGCTCAAAGGGATAATCAATGTTGACTTTTTTTTTTTTTTACCCATCTACCAATATGTACTCTTTGTGAGGCATTGGAAACCCACCCTGGTCTTTGTGGTTGAATCTGTTTGAAATTCACTGCTTGACTGAGGGACCTTACAGATAATTGTATGAGTGGGGTACAGAGATGAGGTAGTCATTCAAAAGTCATGTGAAACACTTATTTCAATTTAATCAATTTTAAATTCAGGCTGTAACACAAAATGTGGAAAAAGTCCAGAGGTGTGAATATTTTCTGAAAGCATACCTGCCATGACTCTAATTCTCCTAAAATATGGGGCTTTCTCCTTGGTGGCAGACTTCTCCCTGCTGGCAGACTTCTCCCTGCCCAGGATGTTGTTTCTGTTACCAAGCAGGAGACCAAGTGAGAGAAAATAGAATGAAAGTTCCCTTTACCCTACATACACTGCTCAAAAAAATTAAGGGAACACTTAAACAACACAATGTAACTCCAAGTCAATCACACTTCTGTGAAATCAAACTGTCCGCTTAGGAAGCAACACTGATTGACAATACATTTCACATGCTGTTGTGCAAATGGAATAGACAACAGGTGGAAGTTATAGGCAATTAGCAAGACACCCCCAATAAAGGACTGGTTTTGCAGGTGGTGACCACAGACCACTTCTCAGTTCCTATGCTTCCTGGCTGATGTTTTGGTCACTTTTGAATGATGGCGGAGCTTTCACTCTAGTGGTAGCATGAGACAGAGTCTACAACCCACACAAGTGGCTCAGGTAGTGCAGCTCATCCAGAATGGCACATCAATGCGAGCTGTGGCAAGAAGGTTTGCTGTGTCTGTCAGCGTAGTGTCCAGAGCATGGAGGCGCTACCAGGAGACAGGCCAGTACATCAGGAGACGTGGAGGAGGCCGTAGGAGGGCAACAACCCAGCAGCAGGACTGCTACCTCCGCCTTTGTGCAAGGAGGAGCAGGAGGAGCACTGCCAGAGCCCTGCAAAATAACTTCCAGCAGGCCACAAATGTGCATGTGTCTGCTCAAACGGTCAGAAACAGACTTCATGAGGGTGGTATGAGGGCCCGACGTCCACAGGTGGGGGTTGTGCTTACAGCCCAACACCGTGCAGGACATTTGGCATTTGCCAGAGAACACCAAGATTGGCAAATTCGCCACTGGAAGGACACAGATGAAAGCAGGTTCACACTGATCACATGTGACAGACGTGACAGAGTCTGGAGACGCTGTGGAGAACGTTCTGCTGCCTGCAACATCCTCCAGCATGACCGGTTTGGCGGTGGGTCAGTCATGGTGTGGGGTGGAATTTCTTTGGGGGGCCGCACAGCCCTCCATGTGCTCGCCAGAGGTAGCCTGACTGCCATTAGGTACCGAGATGAGATCCTCAGACCCCTTGTGAGACCATATGCTGGTGCGGTTGGCCCTGGGTTCCTCCTAATGCAAGACAATGCTAGACCTCATGAGGCTGGAGTGTGTCAACAGTTCCTGCAAGAGGAAGGCATTGATGCTATGGACCGCCCGTTCCCCATACCTGAATCCAATTGAGCACATCTGGGACATCATGTCTCGCTCCATCCACCAACGCCACGTTGCACCACAGACTGTCCAGGAGTTGGCGGATGCTTTAGTACAGGTCTGGGAGATCCCTCAGGAGACCATCCGCCACCTCATCAGGAGCATGCCCAGGCGTTGTAGGGAGGTCATACAGTCACATGGAGGCCACACACACTACTGAGCCTCATTTTGACTTGTTTTAAGGACATTACATCAAAGTTGGATCAGCCTGTTGTGTGGTTTTCCACTTTAATTTTGAGGGTGACTCCAAATCCAGACCTCCATGGGTTGATACATTTGATTTCCATTGATCATTTGTGTGATTTTGTTGTCAGCACATTCAACTATGTAAAGAAAAAAGTATTTAATAAGATTATTTCATTCATTCAGATCTAGGATGTGTTATTTTAGTGTTCCCTTAATTTTTTCGAGCAGTGTATAATTATGTTGAGAAACTGTTTTGTATTTTAAACTAATACTAAACATACAGTATATTTACACTGGCCTTGTCATTTACATAACATGTCCCACATTCCACAAACTGATAAAGGTGCAAATGGCCTAGAATATGCCATTGATAAACTACTGATAGTATGACCGTAGAGCGCATTACCTTGTTTTTATCACACCATAGACATGCATATAAAAGTAGGCCTATTCACACTTCACCCGTCTTCATTGCTTCTTCCATTTCATGTTCTATAATTCAATACCTTAGGAAAATGAACAGCTACAGAATTGGTGCAAACAGCTTGTTGTGAGCCTACATTTTAGCCAAGGTTAGTCTACCTGGTATCCTTGGGACGTCCCTAAACTTAACCCTTACCCGTTTTAAATTTTAATTAGGTTCCAAGGATTCCAGATAGCAATGATTTTGACATCCGAGTTGGGACGGCCCAAGGATTCCGTTCATATAAGGCAACCAGAAATTGAGAATCCATTTTGTTCGGTGTTGACTAGATGGGATACAGCTTGTCAGATTTGACTTTTCGTAGCAGATTAGAACTTACGCAGCAGGTTAGGATAATTAGGTTAATGTTAGGAAATGTGTTAGGGTTAGCTAAAATGCAAAAAAAATCGACTTTTGACGTTAACTTAACAAAAGCTGTATCCCTTCTAGCCATGACCAGTTTGTTCTCCCTGGCCTATACTGTATTTTGATTCGTCTGAGGCTATGATGTGTTAAAATTGAAAGTGAAAGAGTTCTCCCCACTAAACGCTGACACATTTAGGCTACACAGTTTACCTTGACAGCGTTTAACAAAGTAAAAGGTGTAGTAAAGTGCAGTAGGCTATCTCACCTTTCACCTGAGGGCTCTCGGTTTGTGGACTCGTTCGCTCATCTTGATTGAAGATGCTCAATAATTCTCGACCATGCCAACCTCAAAGCGCTGGTTTTTCCTTTGAAAACACTCGCAGGTGAGTTCATTTCTCTGAGGCCCACAGGGTAATTTAAGAAAAATTTACTGCAACAACAAAACAGCTTTATAATAATCTGTGCTGTCAACTTTTGAAGAAAGCTTGGAGTGAGATTTGCTATGTGACTTTCATTGCCTGCTGGCACAACCCCTAGACGGGTTTTACAGTTTAAAAGCTAATTTCCTGCAATTCTACGTAGTTTGACATGGTTTAGGCCTAAGACCAGGGTAGAAAATAAAATAAAACCACAGGTCAGGTGTATTCAAATTGCTTTGAACATTAAATGAACACTCAATTGTACAACTTTGTTACTTTGAGATCTTTGGAGATTACATTTAAAGTATGCTAATATGTTTTTAAAAAAATCTTTAGGTGGTTTGACACATTATTCAGACAGTAATGAAATGAGATGAGGAGACAGACAAATGGGAGAAACAGTGGGAAGGTTGGAAGCAGGGATCCGTTCTCAGGTGGAAAGTACGAGACGTGCCAGGGAGTGTTACCACTACACCAGGGCTCCCCAACTGGCGGGCGGTTTTATTTGGCCCCCCAAGTTTTCTGCGAAAATAAAACATTTGTGTGGAATTTTCATTGTTGGACATAAAAGACTGTAAAAACACCAGGAAATCAGTTCCAAGTGATCTTAAATTAAGAAATCTGTTCCCAAGTATTCCCACGCGATCATATACAAACGTAAGCAAGGTTTGAAATTATTGTTTTAGTCAAACATATCTGTTTGGGCTTCTTGCGGCCAGTCTGCAGTCTACAAATGATTTGTAATTATTTTCCGGCCCCCTGACCAGCCGCTCCAAAAAAAATCGGCCCCCGGCTGAATCTAGTTGATTATCCCTGCACTATACCAAGGCTCTGCACAGGAAATATTAATATTAATGGTTGATGGCATTTGGTAAAACCAAATCATAGATTGCAGTCTCCTTGTCCATAGACTGCTTTCAAGCTAAGGACACACATTTAGCAATTTACATTTTAGTCATTTAGCAGACGCTCTTATCCAGAGCGACTTACAGTCAGTGAATGCATACGTATTTTTTTACATTTTTAATATTTTTTCATACTGCCCCCCGTGGGAAACGAACCCACATCCCTGCCGGCCAAACCCTCCCCTACCTTGGATGACGCTGGACCAATTGTGCGCCGCCCATGGGTCTCCCGGTTGCGGCCGGCTGCGACAGAGCCTGGACTCGAACCAGGATCTCTAGTGGCACAGCTAGCACTGCCTTAGACCACTGCGCCACTCGGGAGTCGCAATTTGGGTGAACTCTCTTTAAAATAGGTCTGGAAGAAAATCCTGCTTGCTCTCCAGGAGGGAACGTATGCATCAAACTGTATGGATAGACGGCTTGACAGAAATGATAGTAGAAGATGAATGTTGAACTTTTGTTGCACACATATCTAGATGATGCTGTGTACCATTTAGCGCAATGACACTGTCGGTGTGATCGAGGCGTAACAGCAACCTCATTTTGTTGACATTGTACATAAAACAGCTCTACTATGCTGCTCTCTCCATTCAGCTCCACTCTAATCTTGAGAGCATCCAATCCCCTTGATCCCTTACCTAACTAGACCAATCATATGCTTCAAAGTGCCCCGGTTCACAGTGCTGTGATAGGACAATGACAGAGGTTGCGCTCGTGATGTTAAATTGAAGGCGCAGATGCTCCGATTTCAAAACGATTTGGAGCACAGTTGAAAAGTCAACGCACTGACTAGGCACGAACTAGTCAGTGCGTGACTATAAAAATAAAAGCAGTACTTTTCAATGCGTGAGATATGAGGTGTGGCGTCTTAGCGTGAGAGGAGGGTCAAATGCGTGAGGTGTTATGTTTGTACCACAGTGTTGTGAATGTTCCCGAGGTCTTGAGGTCTTGAGGTGGATGTGAGGGACTCGAGTCAAGACCCAATTCATGCAAAATTAAAGGGCAACTCCACCACTTTTCAACCTAATTTTCATTATCTCCAGCACAATACCAGTGTCAACCAGAGAAGGCTGGGGGAGGAGCTATAGGACAACGTGCTCATTGTAATGGCTGGAATTGCATAAATTGAACTGTATCAAACATATCTCAACCACATGTTTGACACAGTTCCATTTAGTTTATTCCAGCCATTGCAATAAGCACGTCCTCCTATAGCTTCCCCTACCAGCCGCCTCTGGATTATCAACATATGTGAAAACAGCGAATTTCTAATATGACGTTTAAAAGTTCTACCCGATGACATCAAACGTTAAAACAAGGATTTTCAAACACCATGAGATTCACAGTGAGGTGGGGAGCAAGAAAAGACCCTCCCTTGGGCGAGAAACTCATTGCATGTTTTGAAAATCCCTTTTTTACTTTTAACCCTGCCCTGTGATTAAACAATTTTTTAAGACCTTATCTTTTTAACCACATATCATAGAAACGCACTGTTTTTACATACAGTACCAGTCAAGTTTGGACACACTTACTCAATCCAGCATTTTTCTTTATTTTTACTATTTTCTACATTGTAGAATAATAGTGAAGACATCAAAACTATGAAATAACACATGGAATCATGTAGTAACCACAGAAAAAGTGTTAAACAAATCAAAATATGTTTTATATTTGAGATTCTTCAAAGTAGCCACCCTTTGCATTGATGACAGCTTTGCACACTCTTGGCATTCTCTCAACCAGCTTCATGAGGTAGTTGCCTGGAATGCATTTCAATTAACAGGTGTGCCTTGTTAAAAGTTCATTTGTGGAATTTCTTTCCTTCTTAATGCGTTTGAGCCAATCAGTTGTGTTGTGACAAGGTAGGGTTGGTATACAGAAGATAGCCCTATTTGGTAAAAGACCAAGTCCATATTATGGCAAGAAAACAACTGTCCATCATTACTTTAAGACATGAAGGTCAGTCAATACAGAAAATGTCAAGAACTTTGAAAGTGTTTTCGCAAAAACCATCAAGCGCTATGATGACACTGGCTCTCATGAGGACCGCCACAGGAATGGAAGACCCAGAGTTAACTCTGTTGCAGAGGATAAGTTCATTAGAGTTACCAGCCTCAGAAATCGGCAATTAACTGCACCTCAGATTGCAGCCCAAACAAATGCTTCATAGAGTTCAAGTAACAGACACATCTCAACATCAACTGTTCAGAGTAGACTGCGTGAATCAGGCCTTCATGGTCGAATTGCTGCAAATAAACCACTACTAAAGGACAGAAGAAGAGACTTGCTTGGGCCAAGAAACACGAGCAATGGACATTATACCAGTGGAAATCTGTCCTTTGGTCAGATGAGTCCAAATTTGAAATGTTTGGTTCCAACCGCCCTGTCTTTGTGAGATGCAGAGTAGGTGGACGGAGGATCTCCGCATGTGTGGTTCCCAGAGTGACGCATGGAGGAGGTGTGATGGTGTGGGGGTGCTTTGCTGGTGACACTGTCAATGATTTATTTTGAATTCAAGGCACACTTAACCAGCATGGCTACCACAGAATTCTGCGCTTAGTGGGATGATCATTTGTTTTCAACAGGACAATGGCCCAAAACACACCTCCAGGCTGTGTAAGGGCTATTTGACCAAGAAGGAGAGTGATGGAGTGCTGCATCAGATGACCTGGCCTCCACAATCACCCAACCACAACCCAATTGAGATGGTTTGGAATGAGTTGGACCGCAGAGTGAAGGAAAAGCAGCCAACAAGTGCTCAGCATATGTGGGAACTCCTTCAAGACTGTTTGAAAAGCATTCCAGGTGACTACCTCATGAAGCTGGATGAGAGAATGCCAAGAGCTGTCATCAAGGGAAAGGGTGGCTACTTTGAAGAATCTCAAATCTCAAATATATTTTGATTTGTTTAACCTCTACGGGATCGGTGTCCCGTATACGGGATGGTTGCGCTAACGTGCGCTAATGTGATTAGCATGACTGTTGTAAGTAACAGTAAACTTTCCAGGACATAGACATGTCTTATATGGGCAGAAAGCTTAAATTCCTGTTAATCTAACTGCACTGTCCAATTTACAGTAGCTATTACAGTGAAAAAATACCATGCTAGTGTTTGAGGAGAGTGCACAACAACACAAATCTTATCATGGCAACTGGTTTGATACATTCACCTCTGAAGGTCCCAGAGATAAAATGTAGCATAGTTTTGTTTGATAAAATCCATTTGTATATTCAAATGTAGGAACTAGGTTCTACAGTTTGAACCCCTGCTGTCTCTGGCTCCAAACCCACCCCGCCCGGCCCGGCCACCTAGATGTGTGAAAGTTAGTGTATAAGCTAATGATCCATCATGTATGACATTCCTGGGAGTGCGTAAACTTACATTTTGTATTACCATATAATTTTTGTATGTTCTCTATAGTTATGTACTTGAAAATGTATCAATTGACCAATTTGGCAGATTTGGGCGGACTTGATACAAAATAGTCCAGTATTGCAATGCTTCACTGGATCAATCTGAAACGTTGCACACACACTGCTGCCATCTAGTGGCCAAAATCTAAATTGCGCCTAAACTGCAATATTATATTGTGGCCTTTCTCTTGCATTTCAAAATGAAATAAATATGAAAACGCATGTTTTTTTGTTTGTATTATCTTTTACCAGATCTAATGTGATATATTCTCCTACATTAATTTTACATTTCCACAAACTTCAAAGTGTTTCCTTTCAAATGGTATCAAGAATATGCATATCCTTGCTTCAGGTCCTGAGCTACAGGCAGTTAGATTTGGGTATGTCATTTTAGGCTAAAATTGAAAAAAAAAAAAGGGTCAGATCCTTAAGAAGTTATCACTTTTTTGGTTACAACATGATTCCAAATGTGTTATTTCATAGTTTTGATGTCTTCCCTATCATTCTACAATGTAGAAAATTGTAAAAATTAAGAAAAACCCTTGAATGAGTAGGTGTCCAAACTTTTGACTGGTACTGTATGTGGAGGGGGGGGGGGGCAAAACTTACGATACCAAAATTTCTCCTGACATACTATTTTACAGCAGGGAAATTAAAAAGTGGCATTTTTCCGCACTGAATTTTCAAAAATTGCTATCCAAAAGAGCAATTGTCCAATAACTATGCTTCAAATGTTGATTTCATACATTGTGACAATAATGACAGATCATGAGAATGGCCGCAAGTGTTCAGATAAGCATGAAATTCCCTTTTTCTTTCAATTGATTGAATATCGGTTATCGGTGGAGTTATCGACCGATATAGCGTTAAAAGGCCAATATCGGCAGATAATACCTGTGAATCGATATATCGGGCTCTACGTAGGCTAACATAAAGCCAGGTCCTCTAAATATACCCAACATTGCATAAAAAGTACTCACTTTGCAGGAATGCTGTGTTGGAGGGGAATTTGTCAGAGCTTGGTTACAGTTCTCCGAAGGCAAGGAAGACTGGAACCACCATCGCTGGCATAGTCTTCAAGGTGAGAATCAGTCATTACACATTTTCTGCTTACTGTGATGTAGCAGTCTCAGGGTTGAGTTTAGCACAATCAATGCCCTAAGTATGATTATAGTTTGGGTTTCCTCCCTCCACAGGATGGGGTGATACTTGGAGCTGACACAAGAGCCACTGATGACATGGTGGTAGCTGACAAGAATTGCATGAAGATCCACTACATTGCACCTAACATTTAGTAAGTGCCACCTCGTACAGTATAATAGTGTAGCTTGTGTAACCCCTATGTAGTTCAGCATCAGCCCCTGCACAATGGTATGCACAGACTGGGGCTTTTGTTGAGGTCTATTTGAGACACCATGTTTCACCCATTCATCTCTGTTTTTATTGTAGCTGTTGTGGCGCAGGTGTGGCTGCAGATGCAGAAGTCACCACTCAGATGATGTCATCCAATGTGGAGCTGCACTCACTCAGCACAGGACGCCCTCCCCTCGTTGTCACGGTTACCCGACAACTGAAACAAATGCTATTCAGGTGAGAGAGAGTATGAATGAGTCTGTGATGGTGGGAAAATAAGACCTCTAATGTGGCCACTCTCATAACATGGTTTGAATGCTGACAATCCAATGACTTTCCTGACAATAATATAAAATAACAGCCACAACAGTGCCTTCGTCAATGATCGGACATCCCTCATTTGACTACAACAACCATTTTCTATCAAGAACATTATGATGATGCTGTTACATTGTAGCTCTCTACACCTGAATTGTGGCTTCTACTCCAGGTACCAGGGACATATTGGCTCCTCTCTGATTGTTGGAGGTGTGGATGTGACTGGCGCTCACCTCTACAGCGTCTACCCACATGGCTCCTATGACAAACTACCATTCCTTACTATGGGTATGCTCTCCATTAGTTTATCTAGTCAATGCTTGACTCTGTCTGTCAGCGATGGAGATTTCTTTGCACCATCTGTCCATGTGTTTCAGTCCATCATAATCACAGATAGTGTTGTCTGTATTGTTTGTCTTTGGTAATCATCTATTGCCATCAAATAATTCATCTGGGCTGTGGGAAGAGCTTCTAATGGTATGAAGTTGTATTGAATATTGAAACATTAGAAAACATTAGAAAAGGTAACACTACTGCCGTTGTTTTTGCAGGTTCAGGAGCAGGGGCAGCTATTTCTATCTTTGAGGACAGATACAGACCAAACATGGAGGTGAGATGCAGTTATTCTCATTTAACAGTTGTTCATTTCATAAAATGTATTGCTCACCTCTCTTATCTGTCTATCTTGCTCAGCTGGAAGAGGCTAAAAAGCTGGTGCGGGATGCCATTACTGCTGGGATTTTCTGTGACCTGGGCTCTGGTAGTAATGTGGACCTGTGTGTCATCACTCAGGCTGGGGTTCAGTACCTTAGGAGCTATGACCAGCCTGCCCAGAAGGGGAAAAAGTGAGCTATACAAGTTTCTACTTGGCTACAACCAACAACATTAAATGTGAATATTACTTGATTATTCATAACGGGAATTTACAATATACTCTCTCTCTTTCCTTTCTCTTTGTCTTTGCCTGTTTCCAGAGAAGGACAGTACAAGTACAAGCCTGGCACCACTGCAGTTTTGACAAAGACTGTCACACCCTTGCCTCTGGACGTCGTTGATGAATCAATTCAGCTTATGGACACTCAGTGAAATGCATGCTGCTGCAGGCATCATCAAACACACTCATGAATTCCAACACTCATTAGTACAAGTATCTACTTTAATTCTAAATAGCTAAGATTAACTTGTGAATTGATAATGGGACTGGGTTTTGCATCGCTTGTTACACATACTTGGCAGCTCTTTTATTGAATAATTTACTTTCAAAACAGTATTGCAGTGTATGAAACATTAAAAGGCAATAAAATATTTCTTACTTGCAATAATGGCATCAAGTATCAGCAACAAGCATTGGTAATTTGCATTGCGATCACTTAACCGGTACTTAATACCAAAATACAATTAATGCATTTTGACATTTTTATTAGACCTATTAGCAGATTCTACCAGAATAGTACATCACTACGGTTACATGCACACAATAATGTGATTATTGTGGATAGTCAGATTAATATAATAGTTCGATTAAAACGTTTACATGCTTTGTAAGAAGAACGATTTCCCTAATAATCCTGTTAACATGGACAGAGTGACAGCACTCTGATAAATGCAAAAAAATTGCCAATCAAAATAAACGTTCTACCACAGCGACTGTGTTATTTTTGGGAAGCATATTTGATTCTGAGTTAGGACATATAACGTTTGTATATGAAAACTACTTTTAAAAGCCTATTTATGCAGAGGAGTATTTTTTTAAATAATAATGTATTATTATTTTTGTTTTCGCTCAATCTGATTGGGTGGGCCTGGCAGGGCCTATATCCTATACAGTTGAAGTCGGAAGTTTACATACACTTAGGTTGGAGTCATTAAAACTAGTTTTTCAACTATTCCACACATTTCTTGTTAACAAACTATAGTTTTGGCAAGTTGGTTAGGACATCTACAGTGGGGAGAACAAGTATTTGATACACTGCTGATTTTGCAGGTTTTCCTACTTACAAAGCATGTAGAGGTCTGTAATGTTTATCATAGGTACACTTCAACTGTGAGAGACGGAATCTAAAACAAAAATCCAGAAAATCACATTGTATGATTTTTAAGTAATTAATTTGCATTTTATTGCATGACATAAGTATTTGATACATCAGAAAAGCAGAACTTAATATTTGGTACAGAAACCTTTGTTTGCAATTACAGAGATCATACGTTTCCTTTAGGTCTTGACCAGGTTTGCACACACTGCAGCAGGGATTTTGGCCCACTCCTCCATACAGACCTTCTCCAGATCCTTCAGGTTTCAGGGCTGTCGCTGGGCAATACGGACTTTCAGCTCCCTCCAAAGATTTTCTATTGGGTTCAGGTCTGGAGACTGGCTAGGCCACTCCAGGACCTTGAGATGCTTCTTACGGAGCCACTCCTTAGTTGCCCTGGCTGTGTGTTTCGGGTCGTTGTCATGCTGGAAGACCCAGCCACGACCCATCTTCAATGCTCTTACTGAGGGAAGGAGGTTGTTGGCCAAGATCTCGCGATACATGGCCCCATCCATCCTCCCCTCAATATGGTGCAGTCGTCCTGTCCCCTTTGCAGAAAAGCATCCCCAAAGAATGATGTTTCCACCTCCATGCTTCACGGTTGGGATGGTGTTCTTGGGGTTGTACTCATCCTTCTTCCTCCAAACACGGCGAGTGGAGTTTAGACCAAAAAGCTCTATTTTTGTCTCATCAGACCACATGACCTTCTCCCATTCCTCCTCTGGATCATCCAGATGGTCATTGGCAAACTTCAGACGGGCCTGGACATGGGCTGGCTTGAGCAGGGGGACCTTGTGTGCGCTGCAGGATTTTAATCCATGACGGCGTAGTGTGTTACTAATGGTTTTCTTTGAGACTGTGGTCCCAGCTCTCTTCAGGTCATTGACCAGGTCCTGCCGTGTAGTTCTGGGCTAATCCCTCACCTTCCTCATGATCATTGATGCCCCACGAGGTGAGATCGTGCATGGAGCCCCAGACCGAGGGTGATTGACCGTCATCTTGAACTTCTTCCATTTTCTAATAATTGCGCCAACAGTTGTTGCCTTCTCACCAAGCTGCTTGCCTATTGTCCTGTAGCCCATCCCAGCCTTGTGCAGGTCTATAATTTTATCCCTGATGTCCTTACACAGCTCTCTGGTCTTGGCCATTGTGGAGAGGTTGGAGTCTGTTTGATTGAGTGTGTGGACAGGTGTCTTTTATACAGGTAACGAGTTCAAACAGGTGCAGTTAATACAGATAATGAGTGGAGAACAGGGGGGCTTCTTAAAGAAAAACTAACAGGTCTGTGAGAGCCGGAATTCTTACTGGTTGGTAGGTGATCAAATACTTATGTCATGCAATAAAATGCAAATTAATTTCTTTAAAATCATACAATGTGATTTTCTGGATTTTTGTTTTAGATTCCGTCTCTCACAGTTGAAGTGTACCTATGATAAAAATTACAGACCACTACATGCTTTGTAAGTAGGAAAACCTGCAAAATCGGCAGTGTATCAAATACTTGTTCTCCCCACTGTACTTTGTGCATGACACAAGTAATTTTTCCAACAATTGTTTACAGACAGATTATTTCACTTATAATTCACTGTATCACAATTCCAGTGGGTCAGAAGTTTACATACACTACTTGACTGTTCCTTTAAACAGCTTTGGAAAATTCCCGAAAATGATGTCATTGCTTTACATTTACATTTTAGTCATTTAGCAGATGCGCTTATCCAGAGCGACTTACAGTTAGAAAAAATGTCATATTGGAATCGAACCCACAACCCATGCTCTAACAACTGAGCTACATCCCTGCCGGCCATTCCCTCCCCTACCCTGGACGACGCTGGGCCAATTGTGCGCCGCCCCATGGGTCTCCCGGTCACGGCCAGCTACGACAGAGCCTGGATTCGAACCAGGATCTCTAGTGGCACAGCTAGCACTGCGATGCAGTGCCTTAGACCACTGCGCCACTCGGGAGAGACCATGTGAGGATATGACAGAGCCAAGTGACTTGGTGTATAGCGAGAATAGGAGAGGGCCTAGAACTGAGCCCTGGAGGACACCAGTGGTGAGAGCATGTGGTGCAGAGACAGATTCTCGCCACGCCACCTGGTAGGAGCGACCTGTCAGGTAGGACGCAATCCAAGAGTGAGCAGCGCCGGAGATGGCCAACTCGGAGAGGGTGGAGAGGAGGATCTGATGGTTCACAGTATCAAAGGCAGCAGATAGGTCTAGAAGGATAAGAGCAGAGGAGAGAGAGTTAGCTTTAGCAGTGCGGAGAGCCTCCGTGACACAGAGAAGAACAGTCTCAGTTGAATGACCAGTCTTGAAACCTGACTGGTTTGGAACAAGAAGGTAATTCTGAGAGAGATAGCAGGAGAGTTGCCTAGAGACAGCAGGCTCAAGAGTTTTGGAGAGAAAAGAAAGAAGGGATACTGGTCTGTAGTTTTTGACATCGGAGGGATCGAGTGTTAGATATGCTAGATATGCTGTTACTACTGTACTTTGAAGCCGATTCATGCTTGATCTGGCAATGTGGTCCAGAGGCTCCGTATGGAGGGTGTGACTCAGTCGCTGAGCCTCCGGAAGCTTGCAGAGGCGAAATCAAGCTCCATACCACATCGCCATTGCCTCCCAACAATGTAGAACGATGCAGAGGGCTCTGTATAGCTCCGTATTGACATAAATGGTTGACAGGTGGTGGTGGCGGTATGTTCTGTATAAACAAACTCACATCCTTGACAACTTCCTTCACAACAAACAGCGCAGCTCCGCGAAGCTCAAGAAGTATAAATGCCCTGACTTCTGCGGAGGCCGAATCGCAGTAAATGCTGTATGGCCAATACAGACAGCAGAGTGACCATACGTCAGTTTAGCTAATGGTAAACCAGAAACTCGATATGACTGAGACTTGTCCAATAAACGAGCAGCTTCACCTTCTCTAACACCACCCATTGGAGTAACGGTAAACAGGGCGTTTTTATACCCCCATCATAATTCTCATTTGCTCTGCAAGGAGAAGAACACCAAGGAGCGTGTTTGAATTTTGATCGCGTCTGTGTCATGGGAAAATGTCGTGCATGCTTGCAGAGATAATTTAGTATTTGGCGCATGGTTGGCAATAAGTTATTCACATAATATATTTTTATCGGCTGGTAAGTGTGTAATTTTAGCACATTCGAAAGTTATGCTAGCGCTGCATGGTTTGCTATGTTAGATGTGGCGTGCTTGCTCAATGTAGCTTTCTTGCCTCCCTTAAATTAACTTGCCAGTTAGATATTGTTATTCTTGATTTGCGAAGTTCTCTGCGTTCATACCGATGCCAGCTAACTAGTTAGCTTGTTGTGTGGCGAGTTCGCTATCTGCTACCTTTTGAGTGATTTATAGAATTTAAAAATATATTTATTTATTTGGTCCATTATCTTTTCTACATACATTGAAAAAAATATACACAACATGTAAAGTGTTGGTCCCATGTTCAATGAGCAGAATTTTTTAAAAATCGCAGAAATGTTCCATACACACACAAAGCTTATTTTTCTCAAATTTAAAGGCCACTTTAAAATGTGCAGTTTTGTCACACAACACAATGCCACATATGTCTCAAGTTTGAGGGCGCGTGCATTTGGCATGCTGACTGCAGGAATGTCCACCAGAGCTGTTACCAGAGAATTGAATGTTCATTTCGCTACCATAAGCTGCGGACAATGTCGTTTTAGAGAATCCGGCCTCACAACCGCAGACCACGTGTAAACACGCCAGCCCAGGACCTCCACATCCGGCTTCTTTATCTGCGGGATCATTTGAGGGGGGTGCTGATGAGTTTTGTCTGTCCCCCCTTTTGTGGGTGAAAAACCATTCTGATTGTATGTCAAATGTATGCACTCACTAACTGTAAGTCTGGATAAGAGCGTCTGCTAAATGACTAAAATGTAAAAATGATTGGCTGGGCCTGGCTCCCCAGTGGGCCTGGCTCCCCCACCGCATTCTTATTGGCAGACTAAATAGCCTTGGTTTCTCAAATGACTGCCTCGCCTGGTTCACCAACTACTTCTCAGATAGAGTTCAGTGTGTCAAATCGGAGGGCCTGTTGTCTGGACCTATGGCAGTCTCTATGGGGGTGCCACAGGGTTCAATTCTTGGGCCGACACTTTTCTCCGTGTATATCAATGATGTCGCTCTTGCTGCTGGTGACTCTCAGATCCACCTCTACGCAGACGACACCATTTTGTATACATCTGGCCCTTCATTGGACACTGTGTTAACAAACCTCCAAACGAGCTTCAATGCCATACAACAATCCTTCAGTAGCCTTCAACTGCTCTTAAACACTAGTAAAACTAAATGCATGCTTTTCAATCGAACGCTGCTAGCACCCGCCCACCCGACTAGAATCACCACTCTCGACGGGTCTGACCTAGAGTATGTGGACAACTACAAATATCTAGGTGTCTGGTTAGACTGTAAACTCAACTTCCAGACTCACATAAAGAATCTCCAATCCAAAGTTAAATCTAGAATCGGCTTCCTATTTCGCAACAAAGCCTCCTTCACTCATGCTGCCAAACATGCCCTCGTAAAACTGACTATCCTACCGATCCTTGACTTCGGCGATGTCATTTACAAAATAGCCTCCAACACTCTACTCAGCAAATTGGATGTAGTCTATCACAGTGCCATCCGTTTTGTCTCCAAAGCCCCATACACTACCCACCACTGTGACCTGTACGCTCTTGTTGGCTGGTCCTCACTACATGTCCGTCGTCAAACCCACTGGCTCCAGGCCATCTATAAATCACTGCTAGGCAAATCCCCGCCTTATCTTAGCTCATTGGTCACCATAGCAGCACCCACCCGTAGTCTGCGCTCCAGCAGGTATATCTCACTGGTCATTCCCAAAGCCAACACCTCCTTTGGCTGCCATTCCTTCCAGTTCTCTGCTGCCAATGACTGGAACGAATTGCAAAAATCTCTGAAGCTGGAGACTCTTATCTCCCTCAATAACTTTAAGCATCAGTTGTCAGAGCACCTTACCGATCACTGCACCTGTACACAGCCCATCTGAAATTAGCCCACCCAACTACCTCATCCCTATATTGTTATTTATTTTGCTCTTTTGCACCCCAGTATCTCTATTTGCACATAATCTCTTGCACATCTAGCATTCCAGTGTTAATACTATTGTAATTATTCTGCACTATAGCCTATTTATTGCCTTACCTCCATAACTTGCTACATTTGCACACACTGTATATATATTTTCTGTTGTATTTCTGACTTTATGTTTTTTTTTACCCCATATGTAACTCTGTGTTGTTTTTATTGCACTACTTTGCTTTATCTTGGCCAGGTCGCAGTTGTAAATGAGAACCTGTTCTCAACTGGCTTACCTGGTTAAATAAAGGTGAAATAAAAAAAAATGGGTGAGCCTATGCCCACCCATGCTGCACCCCTGCCCAGTCATGTGAAATCCCATAGATTAGAGCCTAATGCATTTTTCAATTGACTGATTTCCTTATGAACTGTAACTCAGTAAAATCTTAGAAATTGTTGCATTTATATTTTTGTTCAATATACTTTATATTTGGTTTTAGTTTAAGTTTACACTGAAGCGTTTTTCCATCCTGAAAATTAATAAAAAATAAAATAGTTTTCATTGGGAAGGCAGATCAAGCTTTTCTATCAAACAATTGCTTTTGCATGTGAAATCCAACTCATTACTACAAGTGCTTAATTATGTCACTTTTGTTTTGAGCCGACTTCGCAAAACACTCCCCTCACCTGGTTGTCTAGGTCTTAATTGGATACAATTTGAAAGGAAATAAGAAAAACCTGCAGACATTCAGGCCCTCTGTGGAATGAGTTTGACGCCCCTGTCATAAAGGGAAATTATGCTTATGTAACACTCTGGCTCCGGGACTTTTGTATTTGAGCCAGGGTGTATTTGTTTTGTTGGGTTTTGGGTGATTTTCTATGTTTGCATTTCTGTCACGTTTATTTCTAGGTTTGGTCATTGACTCCCAATCGGAGGTAACGAGTGTCAGCTGTCGGCTCGTTATCTCTGATTGGGAGCCATATTTATACTGCATGTTTTCCTGTGGGCATTGTGGGTTATTGTTCCGTGTTTCAGTCGTTGTACTGTGGACTTCACGAGTTGTCTTTTGTTTTGTATTTCGGTGCTTTTTTCAATTAAAGTCATGTTCGTTCAACGCGCTGCGCTTTGGTCTCCTTCACTCCTAGACGATCGTGACAGAATAACCCACCAAAGAAAGACCAAGCAGCGTGTCCAGGAGCAGGGAGACTGGACATGGGAGGAGGCACCGGGCAAGGAGATAGAGAGGCTGGCGATGGCCCAGGTGGGCACATCGTGGTCCTGGGAGGACATGCTCGGAGGCAAGGGACCTTGGGGAAGGATCAAGGCCCTGGCGAGAGAGGAGCAACGGCGGCAGCAGGGCCATCGTCGGAGGGTCGTGTGTCAACCCCAGAAATTTTTTAGGGGGGGGCACACGGCATGGACGACGGGGCTGACGGAGGAGAAAAGGGGGAGTATCCAGGAGGCCACCAGGCCAGGGGTACACCGCCCTGTACGTCCTGTGCTGATGCCTCACACAGAGTGTGTGAGGGTAGGCATTCAGCCAGGACGGGTGGTGTCCGCTGTTCGCTCCAGGCCTCCTATCCGTCTCCACAGCCCGGTCCGGCCTGTTCCTGCCACCCGCACCAAGTCTACGGTGCGCGTCGCCAGCCCGGTCCGGCCTGTTCCTGCCACCCGCACCAAGACTACGGTGCGCGTCGCCAGCCCGACCCGGCCTGTTCCTGCCACCCGCACCAAGACTACGGTGCGCGTCGCCAGCCCGACCCGGCCTGTTCCTGCCACCCGCACCAAGTCTACGGTGCGCGTCGCCAGCCCGGTCCGGCCTGTTCCTGCCACCCGCACCAAGACTACGGTGCGCGTCGCCAGCCCGACCCGGCCTGTTCCTGCCACCCGCACCAAGACTACGGTGCGCGTCGCCAGCCCGGTCCGGCCTGTTCCGGCCACCCGCACTAAGTCTACGGTGCGCCTCAGACGGCCAGAGTCTGCCGTCTGCCCAACGGGGCCTGAACTGCCCGTCTGCCTAAAGCCTGCAAAGCCGCCCGTCTGCCATGAGCCGTCCGCCAGACCAGAGCCGCTAGAGCCTTCCGCCAGACAGGATCAGCCAGAGCCTTCCGCCAGACAGGATCAGCCAGAGCCTTCTGCCAGACAGGATCAGCCAGAGCCTTCTGCCAGACAGGATCAGCCAGAGCCTTCTGCCAGACAGGATCAGCCAGAGCCTTCTGCCAGACAGGATCAGCCAGAGCCTTCCGCCAGACAGGATCAGCCAGAGCCTTCCGCCAGCCATGAGCAGCCAGATCCGTCGGCCAGCCATGAGCAGCCAGATCCGTCGGCCAGCCATGAGCAGCCAGATCCGTCGGCCAGCCATGAGCAGCCAGATCCGTCGGCCAGCCATGAGCAGCCAGATCCGTCGGCCAGCCATGAGCAGCCAGATCCGTCGGCCAGCCATGAGCAGCCAGATCCTTCAGCCTGCCATGAGCCGTCCAGCCAGGATCCGCCAGAGCCAGCCAGCCAGGATCCGCCCCTTAGCCAGGTGCTGTCCCTTAGCCCGGTGCTGCCCCTAAATCCAGGTGGAGTAAGTTGGAGGAGGCTAGGGAAGCGGGTGGTGACTAAGGTGGGGTGGGGACCACGACCAGGGCCAGAACCGCCACCGTGGACAGACGCCCACCCAGACCCTCCCCGAGACTGTATGCTGGTGCGCCCGGAGTGCGCACCTTTAGGGGGGGGTACTGTAACACTCTGGCTCCGGGACTTTTGTATTTGAGCCAGGGTGTATTTGTTTTGTTGGGTTTTGGGTGATTTTCTATGTTTGCATTTCTGTCACGTTTATTTCTAGGTTTGGTCATTGACTCCCAATCGGAGGTAACGAGTGTCAGCTGTCGGCTCGTTATCTCTGATTGGGAGCCATATTTATACTGCATGTTTTCCTGTGGGCATTGTGGGTTATTGTTCCGTGTTTCAGTCGTTGTACTGTGGACTTCACGAGTCGTCTTTTGTTTTGTATTTCGGTGCTTTTTTCAATTAAAGTCATGTTCGTTCAACGCGCTGCGCTTTGGTCTCCTTCACTCCTAGACGATCGTGACAGCTTAAAAATTTTTGTATATCCAGTTTGAGTCCAACCCTTTTACTCTTCTTTTCCAATCAGCTCCATATGGCTAACAGAGGGTCAGGTGTGTTATGATGATGACATGCAAGATTAATGATGAAGACCAAGCAAACTTATATGGTCAATACTGGATCAAGTCACTAAACACGTATTTTCTCCATATCCTCTTCACCATCAGGCAACAGTGTGGCTTCTTTGACGCAGTGTTGTGAACTAGTATTGGAGGATGCCTCGTCGCGATCATGACCGTTCTTCTGCAAGCCGGCGCAAGGGTGTAACACCCAAGCGTCGGCCTCCAGCCCCAACCGCGCCTGCTTCAGCATCAAAGGCAAGGGCATCACGGCTGAGCGGACCATCAGGTGAGGAGGATGGGGAGGAGGGGAAATGTGGGTTGGACTCATGCCTTCTCAATCCTGACACTGAAGCAAACTGTTTTTGTTTAGCTATGTGACCACTAGTTGAAAGTGTTGCAATGAATACATATTATATTATAAGGTTCTCATTGTTTTAAAGATGATTTGGATCTCTCTAGCCCCTGCAGGTCCAACTCCCTCCCCGCGAAAGAAGAGGTTTCGCCCTGGCACCCGAGTTCTGATGGAAATTCGCAAGTACCAGAAGAGCACTGACTTGCTTTTGCGCAAGGGACCGTTTGCACGCCTGGTACAATGATTAGCACATGGCTCCTGTGGACCGATTTAAAACTACCATTTTGTCTATAGTCACCTTACGTTCTTAGATGGATGCTGCCAGTCTCTGACAATACATTACTTGTTGTTGATGATGCATAGTTAGCCCTGTGAACTCTGCTGTGTATGTGGGTAAACCAGTCTTTCCAGGATTTTGCAATCGCAATTATTTTAGCAAAATCAACAATTCCTTGCATATTATGCGAGAGCTTGCATATTTGACCAATCACAGCACTATTACTGCATACAATAGTAAAATCATCTCAATATTATCACATACAACTGACCAATCACCACACTTCAAAAAGGGGGCTTGCTATTTCGACCAATGAAGCCACACGTCAGCAAACTTTTTCCCTTGTCAGCGCATTTTGGACAAAATCATTGCATATTGCCATGCAAAATGTCAGAATTGCCGCAGCAAAATCTAGTATTTTTGCCCGCAAATATATTTTAAAAATGCTGCAAAATCCTGAAGGGACTGGTAAATTGGTGGTGTCTTAGTTTGGAATAAATACAAGAAAGATGAACTAAAATGATTGTTTTTAAACTTCAAGTTGCTACCCCAAGTTAATATTTCCTATTAGTGATTTATTTATCTTCAGCGAATTTCAAGGTTGTTTACTCAGGTTCTCTACTCAGGTTCGGGAGGTATGTCAGACATATAGCAGGGACTTCATGAGATGGCAGGTGTATGCTCTTCTGGCATTGCAGGAGGTAGGTTACTTCCCACTCCTGTGCTTATTTGAAGAACTGTTATATCAATACTCTAAACCCTTCCCTTACAGTTTATAATAACATCATAGTACACTTATTTTGAACGTTTTTATTTACATATCAGCCAAAAAAAAAAAATCCCCTCTGTTTTTGTATCCCTGTTAACTGTTGTGAATATGAACATTTGCTGGTCATCATTGTTTGACACCATTATTTCTCTTCCAGGCTGCAGAGGCTTTCCTCATTTTACTGTTTTCCGACGCCTACCTTTGTACCGTCCACGCCAAGCGTGTAACGCTATTCCCCCGTGACATTCAGCTTGCCCGGCGAATTCGAGGAGTGGATAATCTCTGAGAACACTCAGATGAGCCATTGAGGAGCGAGCAGTGTGGCTTGGGGTGGGGCCTGTTATAGTCTCTTTTTAATATAATTTACCACTGACCTTGGCTCATGTACTATGGGGTGCTGAGGACCTCTAACAGTGCTGTGTTTTGATGCAAAGCATCAATGGACCTAATTTGCCCCAAACACGCATGCATTAAGTTCTTGCCATGTTCATGCCAGTTATAATCTCAGTATATTCTATAACAAAAGGCTCACCCAGGCAAGGACTGTTGACCAATGTTTTGTACATTGAAGGAAAAACACTGTTGGGTATACTGCTTTAGTTCATCTGTGTTTTGGGCCTCATGGCACCTAAGCCAAGTTAGTATACTGGTTAAATCTGGAAAATATGAGTTACTGTAAATAATGTTTTTATATTGTTTTCATGTTGCATTTAAATAAATGTTTTTATTCGGTAGGAAAAACAATTTGAAATGCCTATTTGTATACCTGTTCCCATACAGCTATAATAGGACTACAGATCCATACTTAAAACCTGGAAATTAATTTTCTTAATGTTAACCTCTTATATTTCATGCCCAATTTTAACATGCATCTGTGGTGTTTGTGTGCATGTGGTTTCATCCACTGCCTTTGTCTCATTGTATTTTCAGCCTATGGTATGGTGTTCCCAGATGCCCCTTTTGGCTCTCCTTTTTTAATTGGTCTCTTGGGACAGCTTTCTGCTGCCTCCTGGCCCCTGATCTACCCGCTTTCCCAGCAGGCAGCCAATCCAATCTTCTCCCACCTGCCTGAAACAGCTCTTGATGGTCCTGTTTACAGGTGTGCTGGGGCATCACTTGGGACCGAGAAACACACCGGGCAACATTTAGGGAGTTAGATGTTTAAACGGCACACCAGTTGAACGACTACAGAGGAGTGGGAACACTGTTTTTGCGTAGTATCCCAATAGTGCTGTGGACGTGAGGATTGTTTGAGTCAAAGAGAAGGGGTTCATGTATTCGCATGGACAGAGAATAGTACTGTTTATTCAAGTTGCAATTTTAAAGGGATATTGTTTAGGGATCCAAAAAGTGCATTCTTTCAGGACATCAATACGTCAGGTAAGACCATTTTATACTCATGAGTCTAGTCAAGCCAATTCATTGAATAGTTATGTTAAGAGCAATGTATTTGTTTGCCAAGAGAATCTAAATCAGTTCTTATTCCACGTCGTCTACTTGCATGTATTGTAAATGTTTGTAAAAGGTGCATTTTAGGATTGGAGATGGAAGTATCCACTGCAAGGATAGTGTTAGAAATAAACATAATGAAATAGTGTAATGAATAAGCAAGAACCCTTTTAAATGTCTTATTGTTATGTGATGTGATCCATATCCCTCTTTTTCCCTCTGTCACAAGGGCGATCATGATGTCACCAGAGGACAGCAGCACCCTGGAGGGCTTATTGTATGGCAGCCTCCATGGTGACGAGGGGGAGGAGTCAGTGAATCAGGGGAGCAGACAGTCAGGAGAGGAGAATTCCACAGCCAGTGTAAGCCCCAGCTAGCCTGTAGTCTGGTCCCAGACTGTTCTGACGGCCATACGTACTTGTTATGACAACAGTAGAGGAGTTGGCTAAAACCCATACAGTACTGTAAAAGGGGACAAAATAATAGCATACGCCCCAGCTTTGTGAGCGATCAAATATTTTTAAATTAACATTCATAAACAGCCATTGTATCTGAAAAAAATTAATAGGGAATTTGATTATTTCTTGACTAAATATCTTTACATTTTGTTAGTATTTTTGAAAATGTAGTTGTGTGAGAACAGTCTCAATGCTGGCCAAGGGCCCTACACTCTGAGTGGCGCAGTGGTCTAAGGCACTGCATCGCAGTGCTAACTGTGCCACTAGAGATCCTGGTTCGAATCCAGGCTCTGTCGCAGCCGGCCGCGACCGGGAGACTCATGGGCGGCGCACAATTGGCCCAGCGTCGTCCAGGGTAGGGGAGGGAATGGCTGGCAGGGATGTAGCTCAGTTGATAGAGCATGGTGTTTGCAACGGCAGGGTTGTGGGTTCGATTCCCACGGGGGGCCAGTATAAAAAATATATGTATTCACTAACTGTAAGTCGCTCTGGATAAGAGCGTCTGCTAAAATGACTAAAATGTAAATGTACACTCCCTTTGTCTTCTATGGGGTTCTAATGAATAGTTCATGATTTGCAAGCTTCCCATAAAGAGAAGCTTTGCTCCTTTTTTGCACCGCTCCAGTAGCGCATGTCTGAAAACTGCTCCCGGTATAAACTGGGTTCATCATAATGAACATGCATGTGCACACGCTTCAACTAACAGGCTGTGCATTAGACCACACAACCACTATGTACACAAAGTAAGCAGGAAATCCATGACCCTACATTCTGAGTTGTCTTGTTTGATGGAGGTAATGGCGATTGCAGGGAAACCAAGAAATGTGGCTCTATTTTTATACAGAGTGGCATCCACGATCCCCTAAAATGTCTCTTCATGGCCCTGTTAAATTATCTAGCGTTAATCATCGATCTGACATGAGTCAGCTTACACCTCTCCAGTCATTTCATATCAGTGATTACCTCAAGTAACAGAGGAAGGCGGGATGCATTTGTAAAGTATTACAACGGAGCCCTTGTGCCCCGGAATGACATTTCTATTATTGCTTTGCAGTCTCCAGCTACAGGCGTAGTAGAGGAGCCGTTGGTGTGTGCCGGCTGCGAGGGGCGTGTTTGCGACCGCTTTCTCCTATTGGCTGCCGGGCGGGCGTGGCACGAGGCGTGTCTCCGCTGTAGCCAATGCCAGTGTGAGCTGCAGACGCACCTCACACTCTACTGTCGTGACGGCAGCATCTACTGCCAGCAGGACTACTGCAGGTGGCTCTACAGTCTTCACCCACTTTACACACCTCTGCTCTGGTTGCTTCGATTCTGTCTCTACCTACTTATCTGCATCAGACCACTCATTTGGTTGTTTTGGTCCCATCTTCATTGTCTTGTACAGTAATACTCTGCATGCTACTGACAATCTTCTATTTGCACACTTTTCTCTTCCGTCAAAGGTGATTTCTTTTAGTGGAGCATGTTAATGTTGTAAAAGACCTGCTCAGGTCTCATATTGTTCAAGGATATTGAGTGCTAACAGAGATCTTATTTCTCTAACTGGCCAGGTTATTCAGTGTGGGACGATGTGCCCGCTGCTCCCAGCCAATCCCGTCGTCAGCAATGGTCATGAGGTCTGGTGATCTGACCTTTCACCCCGAATGCTTTTCCTGCCAGGTTAGCTATTTTGGATCTATAATTAGCACTTACAGTACCTGTCCAATTCTACTTTGACCACTAGCCCCTCTCCTACCTCCTAGACACTTCTATATAACTTTTTCAGCTCGAGACCCAAATTAGAAATTTGTGTCCTCCCATGACCTAAATTGTCATCCGGTAACCCAAATTAAGAAGAAATAGTGTGAGATTATGGATGTGTTCTCATAACTAGCGATCCACCTCTCACATGCCCACTTTGACCCATAGTTTAAGAAACCTATCAGAGTATAAGGTAGAGCAATTACCCTTTCCGTAATTGTTTATTACTCAAACCTGTGGTAATGGTGACCTTATATGCATAAAATCTAATAATTCTGTATTTGTCAACCTGGGTACACGTTCGTTTTTTTTTCACTTCTAAAAGCTCTGACAAAGGCCAAGAGGCCCACACATAAGCTTGAATACACTTTAATAGGAACATAATAGGAGGCTATTGAAGTCACTCTCTCCAAGCACCGTTTTTAATTACATCAATGGTGCTAATTCTATATTTCAAGGAGTGTGATGTCACCTTGATGCCTGGAAACCTATACTGCCAACAGGGACAGAGCCTGTACTGTCAAGCACATTACCATGATTACTGCAGTGCTCCACCCTCTCACAAGCTCCACCTCAAGCAGAGAGAAGGTGAGTTATTCATAGATGACAGATGATATTCAAATGGACAGTCTGCTATATCAACCTATCTTGATACAGCAGAAGGGGAGGAGTCTGCCAGCAGCCCTGAGCCACGACTGGAGGATGGCGTTACAGGTGGCCTGGCCCGCAGGCGGACCAAGCGAATCAGAACATGTTTTCGGAGCGAACAGTTGAGAGCCATGGAGTCCTATTTCGCCCTGAAACACAACCCTGATGGCAAGGATTGGAGCTGTCTGTCTCACAGGACCGGTCTGCCCAAGAGAGTGCTTCAGGTTTGAGACATAGAACATAGGATTTTAACTGTGAACAAATTTTGACCGGAGTAGTGATCCCAAAAAAAATCAGTACAGGATTATGCGGACAAACTGTCACAAATGGACATTGAGGTCAAGCTTAAAATGTGTGTGATTTCTCATCTCTATCTCTCTCATACACACACACTCTCTCAGGTGTGGTTCCAGAATGCAAGGGCCAAGCTCAGGCGTTCCCTCTCAGCCGACGAGTCGCAGAGCAACTCACCCGCCCCCCAGAGGTTCGACGCCATGGCTACGGCCTCCCCGTCCCAAGTGACCTCCTCCCACCAGTCCCAGTCCTTCCAGACCAGCACCATTGACCAACTGGAGCTCTCTCTGCTCACCGCCCCTCTCAGTGACCCGCCCCAAAGCCCCACCGACCAATCAGCAGGCTTTAAAGACACATTCTTCCTGGACTACAATTCCCAGGGTGCACCAAGGCTCTCCCCTTTGATGACCTATGACTTTGGGGAGTCTGGATTGGGGAGAGAAGGGGATTCTGACAAGGTACTTCAACCATATTATTGACCATGTTTACATGCACACCGTATTCTGCATAGTAGCTCATATCCCGCTTAAGGTCTTATTCCGGATAAGCTGTTTACATGCACCTTTGATATCCCGCTCACGAGTATCCCTGTATCATGAATAAACAGAATATTCCTAACTTAAGTTCATATGGGTTAAATGGAATGGAATAGTTTCTGATATATGGACACTGACTGTAGGCCTATAACCTCTCACATGTAGCCTAATATAATATTAACTCCTGCAGAATGATGCATTTCTTGCAGTAAAATAATACAACAGGAATGGAGAAAAATGATTTATTTATTTCAGCATCTCTTGAGGAAATGCGACTGTGCGTGTAACGTGGTATCTTTGACACTTATGCAAGCAGACTGTATTTCAACCACATAAAATATGCACCCAAGACCAACTGAATTCTTATCAAAAGCGTGTTTCATCGTTTTCTCAGCTTTTCATTTCCTTAAAACCGGTCAAACTGATGACATCTGTACATTTTGCACAGGAACAATCTTTCCACTGTTTTGGAGTTGCGTTTACTCCCCAGGCCCTAAATGAAATAGACAACTTTACCGGAGTTAACTAGATTACTAATGCATTCATTCTATCGATGTAAGACATTATTCTGGTGAGCACTACTTTATTTAGTCTTCTAGGGCAACAAGTTATGACAGAAGAGAAGCTGCATGTATCTAACTATGGTTGACTAACAAATGGCCTACCAAATGTCGGAAATTATAATATGGCCTGCAGAAATGTATCTAAATTAGGGGTGAAAGTAGGCTAAACCAGTAGGTAATACAGTCCAGTACAGAGTATCAGCAAAACAAATTACTATGGAATTAAGATGGATCGAACTGTGCAGGTAGCCTACTTTTTGAAGTGCGTTTGACAATCCGATACAAACGTCCCACATCACCCATGATATGCGAAACTGATCCTGCGCAGACTGAGGAAAAACAACAGTAAACGGGATAAGATGTTTACATGCTACAGTATCCCGTCGAAGAAAAGCATATCCCAGGCTTCTTATCTGGGTGTCTTATAACCGGGATACAAGCTTTTTCGGGTTATTGTAAAGGGGATATGTAGTTTGAGTCAACTCAAAAACAGAATAGTTGAGTATCCCGAATAATAACGGGATATTGGTGTGCATGTAAACGTGGTCAATGTTAGACATGTTTACGGGACAGCTCCATGAACTGATGGACTTTTAGTTATAATAATGCTATGGTAAATTTAAGCATTTTATGATTATTCCTCTGTCCTACTTGTTTTGTTCCACGGTTTGTCATGGCTGTTATATCAATATGTGCAAGTAGTAGTAGATGTATAGATGTTTGTGTTATGATATTGTACACAGTGAGTGCCAGGAAATGTGTGTAAGATCATGTATCCGAATCCCACCACAAATATGACAATATGAGCTCTTTGTACTTTAATAAATGGGCTGTATTAACTGATTGAGGAATAGGTTGTCTGTTTACTCATTGTCTAAAAGCATTTTTCAACAGATAAGATAGTTGAAGTACTGTATACTTCTATCAGTCGGTCAAATTGGAGAAGTCATATCTTACTAGACTGGTTTTAACAGACCAGGTTAAGGATTAATAGGATGAGGTCCTGTGTGGCTCAGTTGGTAGAGCATGGCGCTTGCAATGCCAGGGTTGTGGGTTTGATTCCCACGTGGGACATATACGTAAAAGTATGAAAATGTATGCACACAATACTGAAGGACACTGAATAAGAGCATCTGCTAAATAACCTAAATGTAAAATGGCTACAATCCTCTTAAAATTTCAATTTACAAAGCACACAGGACTGTCCTCTATGAAGATGACAGCTCTGTTTAGTAATTCATTGAATCTATAGTGTGACCTCAAACCATTTATATGATTGCACAAATAGTGCCTTCGGAAAGTATTCAGACCCCTTGACTTTTTCCACATTTTGTTACGTTACAGCCTTATTCTAAAATTGATTAAATACCCCATAATGACAAAATAAAAACAGGTTTTTAGACATTTTTGCTAATTTATAAAAAATATAAATATTACATTTACATAAATATTCAGACCCTTTACTCAGTACTTTGTTGAAGCACCTTTGGCAGTGATTACAGCCTCGAGTCTTCTTGGATATGACGCTACAAGCTTGGCACGCCTGTATTTGGGGAGTTTCTCCCATTCTTCTCTGCAGGTCCTCTCAAGCTCTGTCAGGTTGGATGGGGAGCGTTGCTGCACAGCTATTGTCAGGTTTCTCCAGCGATGTTCGATCGGGTTCAAGTCTGGGCTCTGGCTGGGCCACTCAATGACATACAGAGACTTGTCCCGAAGCCACTCCTGCATTGTCTTGGCTGTGTGCTTAGGGTTGTTGTCCTGTTGGAAGGTGAACCGTTCATCTAGTCTCCCAGTCCCTGCCGCTGAAAAACACCCCCACAGCATGATGCTGCAACCATCATGCTTAACTGTAGGGATGGTACCAGGTTTCTTCCAGAGGTGACGCTTGGCATTCAGGCCAAAGAGTTGAATCTTGGTTTCATCAGACCAGAGAATCTTGTTTCTCATGGTCTGAGAGTCTTTAGGTGCCTTTTGGCAAACTCCAAGCAGGCTGTCATGTGCCTTTTCCTGAGGAGTGGCTTCCGTCTGGCCACTCTACCATAAAGGCCTGATTGGTGGAGTGCTGTAGAGATGGTTGTCCTCCTTGAAGGTTCTCCCATCTCCACAGAGGAACTCTGGAGCTCTGCCAGAGTGACCATCGGGTTCTTGGTCACCTCCCTGACCAAGGCCCTTCTCCACCGAATGTTCAGTTTGGCCGGGTGGCCAACTCTAGGAAGAGTCTTAGTGGTTCAAAACTTTGATGGAGGCCACTGTGTTCTTGGGGACCTTCAATGCTGCAGACATTTTTTGGTACCCTTCCCCAGATCTGTGCCTCGACACAATCCTGTCTCGGAGCTCTACGGACAATTCCTTGGACCTCATGGCTTGGTTTTTGTTCTGACATGCACTGTCAGCTGAGGGACCTTCGGAAAGTATTCAGACCCCTAGACTTTCTCCACATTTTGTTACGTTATAGCCTTATTCTAAAATTAATTAAAAATAAATCCTCATCAATCTACACACAATATCCCATAATGACAAAACGAAAACAGGTTTTTAGAAATGTTTGCAAAAAAAGTAATACCTTATTTACATAAGTATTCAGACCCTTTGTTATGGGACACGAAATTGAGCTCAGGTGCATCTTGTTTCCATTGATTGTCCTTGAGATGTTTCTACAACTTGATTAAGAGTCGGCCGGTGTTAAATTAAATTGATTGGACATGATTTGGAAAGGCACACAGTTTACAGAAAACAAAAGATAAGTTATTTCGTGTTGGAATTGCAGCCATAGTTGGTGTTATATGACGTGTTTTTTTTTATTTTATTTTTTTACTTTAATCGTTCAATTGAGAAAAGTGACTGATCCAGAGTATTTATAAATTACTATAATGATTATGTCAGGAAACCGGACAATGGAATTCTTTCAGTTGTGTCCGTGTCCTCCCTGTGAGATGACCTTAATGACTGAGACCTTTACAAGGTTTCTTCGAAAATCCTAAAGAATCACTTTATAATCAAGCACAATAATTGGACACTTTAGAATCCATCAGTTAAGTGAGGCCTGTTTCCAAGTCAGAAGAATTTAATGTCGCAGTTGCATTACACATGTGCGTCAAGGGCCCGATTAACCAATCGGGGACAGTGGACAAGATGCTATCAGCTGAAACTCTTTACATTTATCGGGGTATTTAAAGGGTCAAGGGGGATGTCAAGGCAGAAACACAGAGAATTCTACAAGGTAAGCCAATGCATCTATCAATGCTAATGTGTTTGGTATTAGATGTGGATGTTGGTATTCAGTTTGTCTATGTACAGCAGGTACATATGACTCAGTAAATGGTTCTATGTAAGCACTATGTAAATACCTGTAGAATACTGCATGTTAGGTGTGCATTTTAGTGTGTGCTGCTATCTTATCTTAACCCACACAGGTAATGTAGCCTTTTTCTTGAATGGGGCCCTAAGAATCAGGGCTTTGCAAATATCTGGAGAGATTTGCAATATATTATGCATTGACAGTCTATTTTTACATTTTGTGATTTATTTCACAACTACTTTATATTTCCAACAACCTATAGATGAGATTATCCTCGTTCCTGCTCTGTGCCTCTCAGCCGATGCTCAATCTTTTCTCCCTGGCTCTTCTGGTTCCCATCCCAGGGGCACACGGGCACCCCCACTTCCCCTTTGCCATCCTGCCCAAGTTAGATAACCTTGAGTGGGAGGCAGCCTTACTCCAGTTCCAGGCCTCCCTGGATGTCCCCGGGACTGTAGCTGCGGTGGGCCTCCGCCCCTGGGGTCCACTTCTGGAGTTGGGGCCAGAGGACCCACGCCTGGGCCTGCTCAGGGAGCTAGTGGCTGAGAACAGCTGGAGACAGGAGGGCATGAGGAGGGGCCAGAGGGGGGATCTGGAGAGGAGGCCCCTGGGTCCCTTCACCGGCCACCACATGGACACGCTGCACTACCAAGAGGGGGGAGGAAAGAGGAACGAGGCTCTTACGTCCATCGCCGGCGGGCTTCAGGCTTTCAACAGAGAGAAGGGAGGCTTTGGGTTCCGTTTTGGAAGGAAATAAAAGGAGGGAGGGATTGGGGGAAAGAGGAGGGACTAAGACTTGTGGAGGGTGGGGAACTAGGAAATGGAATGAGTTGACAGCTGAAGTACTGATTTACACTCATGTCAGAGCACTCAATTGTGAGATTATGATGAGAAATGTATCATGACATAGAGACTTCCAAACCATTAAACAAAATGTAAAATCCAGTCTATCATAATTGTTACATAATAAAATAATTGAGGGTATGTGAATGAATCTGTTGATTTATTTGATGTCTATGATTTAAGTTATCAATGCAAGCCTACAGTGAAAACAGTATTGTCATAGTGTTTATATTTTCTCCAGGTCTGCACAATTAATGAATAGGAATATAAAATACAGTATGACACCAATAACGGAAACAACATAGGCTTCACAGCCACTGAAACGTAAATTCGTCTATTTTACCTGACAACAGCTACGTTTATTCAGTCCTCAAAAGTCATTGGATGGATAAAAACACTTTAGGCGAGGAATTATGCCGCGATCACGCACTAGTCGGAACTAAAATGTACAATTTGCTAACTGGTTGTACGCCGCAAATCTAAAAATACAACCAGTTAGCAAATCAGAAATGTCCTAGTTCCGACTAGGACGTGAACGGCGCAGTAAACGGTTGTAACGGACCGGAATTTGTGGAGGTTTGAGGTATTCTGTTACTGTACCTCCAACATATACTTTTGAAAAGTATCTCAACTGCAAAAACGTAATCCACAAGATGTATACATTTATGTTATTTGTTTTATATTTCTCGACTGAATGTATTGTTCAGAGCCAAAGCGGTAAATTGTGTAAACCTACCTGAATGTCAAAAGTGAAAGGAAACGTTTACAGCCAGGTAAAAATAGAAAACATCATACAAATCGTTTATCAACTGATATGGGTGGTCTATTGTTGTAGCATAGTCTACAAGATATGTGTTTTACTGCGTTTTATAGGCTATGTAGTCAACCTTATGTGCGTTATCCCACTTAATTGATTACCGTTACTCGCTAATATGCACTTACAGGCTAGCCATAAGGCAAGATGATATAGCTACTTTGTTTAGCCTTATGAAAACCCCGCATAGCATTATCAACTTTTTGTAAAACACAAATGCTCCTTGATAATGTTGTTTGCTGGTATGTTTTAAATTTAACACTGTAGCTAAAGGACTAACGCTGTTTAACAAAAATATGAAACACACAGGAAACAGGATATTCATTGTTTTCTTAATAGTTTGACGATTCATAGGACTAATAAACAAGTTCTGAAAATAATTAATTTTACTTAAATTGTGTTCATTGATTAATACATAGGTTAATACTTCAATAGGCAATGTAAAAGGCCTATAAGGGCTACATATGTAACCAAAACTACCATTTAGACATCATGATGCAGGGCTATAGTATGACTTCTCTCTGCTATGATATTTCATTGAATAAATGATTTTGACTAGTTGGCCCTTACAGACATGATAGACCTAAGTAGTTGACACAGTGATTTCCTAGTGGCAATATGTAACTTTCTGGGCAAAGTGACCAAATTCACATAGAACTCTATCATTCTAATTGAAAGCAAGTCTAGGAGGCGGTTGATATCAATCAATCAATTACATTTTATGTATAAAGCCCATTTTACATCAGCAGATGTCCCAAAGTGCTATACAGAAACCCAGCCTAAAACCCCAAACAGCAAGCAATGCAGATGTAGAAGCACGGTGGCTAGGAAAAACTCCCTAGAAAGGCAGAAACCTAGGAAGAAACCTAGAGAGGAACCAGGCTCTGAGGGGTGGCCAGTCCCCTTCTGGCTGTGCCAGGTGGAGATTATAACAGTACATGGCCATTAAGGACAGATTTTCTCCAAGATGTTCAAACGATCATAGATGACCAACAGGGTCAAATAATAATCACAGTGGTTGTAGAGGTTGCAACAGGTCAGTACATCAGGAGTAAATGTCACTTGGCTTTTCATAGCCGGGCATTTAGAGGTTGAAATAGCAGGTGCACTAGAGAGAGAGAGTTGAAAACAGCAGGTCTAGGACAAGGTAGCACGTCCGGTGAACAGGTCAGGGTTCCATAGCCGCAGGCAGAAGAGTGGAAACTGGAGCAGCAGCCCGACCAGGTGGACTGGAGACAGCAAGGCGTCATCAGGCCAGGTAGTCCTGAGGCATGGTCCTAGGGCTCAGGTCCTCCGGGATGGGAGGGAGAGATATGTTCTATGTGCTCTATTTCAATGCATACCGTTTTTGCGTCTTTTACTTTTGGTTTAGTACACCAGATCAAACAACTGAAAATACAATACTTTTGATTATGGATAATATATTTCACAGCGGTTTAGATGGTACAATGATTTACTATACTAGCTTATTTTGTCACAAACTGAAATTAGGTTAACTGTTAGAGTTTTAGCAACCAGGAAATGACGGAGCTATTTCTGCGTAGTGCAACTTGAATGTTTTACAGCAAAGGCAGATTACATGGAGAGAAGGCAAATTGAGACAAATTATCTAAATGTTTTATTTTTTCCCCTACAGAGATCTACTCGCTGAATTACATCTACACTACCCTCTCAAAGCCAGTTGAATTACCTGGTATCTATGAGTTCACTGCCATGGGCCTGATGAATGACAGACAGATCGACTACTATGACAGTGTGGCAAAGAAGAAAATTCCCAAACAGGACTGGATGAGAGAGAAGCTGCCAGCAGACTACTGGGGAAAAGGCACCCAGTCACGCAAGAGCAATGAACAGTGGTTCAAAGTCAATGTCAACATCCTGATGGACCGCATGAGGCACTGGTGAGAAACTACGCCTGCATTTTGTCCTACGCTCAACATTTATATTTTTCTTAAATTGTGGGTTATTAGGTATCTATCTACCTTCTTTTTCATTATTTTTCATTTGTTTCAGATGTCCATATCCTTCAGTGGAAGCATGGCTGTGAGATTGACATACAGCCAGATGGCACATTGAAATTAAAAAAGGGCACTGACCAATACAGCTACGATGGTGACGACTTCCTGGCCTTTGATGATGCCACTATGCAGTGGGTGGCCCCAGTCGATCAAGCTCTGCCGACTAAGAGGAAGTGGGACGAGGTGCAGATCCTCAACCAGTACACCAAGGGCTACCTGGAGAAGGAGTGTGTGGACTGGCTGTCCAAATTCATGGCATATGGGGACAAAGAATTCAGTAGCGCTGACTGTGAGTACTTATGAATGTTAATCTTCTTAAATAGTGTAGCCTAACAATTGGTTAACAGAAAAGGACCTGTGAGATTAGAAATGAAATATTAATGTTCTCTGTTTATTCCCTCTTTAGCCATTCCAAAGATCTATGTGTTTGCTAAAAAGGCCAAAACTGCAGGAAATGTCCGCCTGACCTGCATGGCGACAGGTTTCTATCCCAAAGATGTGATAATTAATATTAAGAAGAATGGTCTCCAATTGAACAAAGACGATGGAGTACAGTCTACAGGAGCCCAGCCCAATAATGATGACACCTATCAGATCAGGATTAGTGTGCAGATAGATCCCAGAGGCAGACAAGGAAACGTATGTATGCTATGTCAGCCATACAACGTTGAAGGAGCCAATTATGGAAATATGGAGTAAGGTTGACCTAGTATTTAACATACTTTATATATTTTCAACAAACCAGTTATTAGCTTTGTTATCGATTATGGTGAAATCAATTAGTAAAATGTTATTGAGTCTGTTATAAGGTCACGAATGTAGATTATTTCAATGTGACTCAACTGTTTTTTCAAGCTCAATGTATAGGATTTTATGGTTAGTTGCTACATCAATTTTTTGACTTATAAATTAATAATAGATACCCATTGCATCTTGAAGAATATAACTTATAAATTCCTCATGAGCTTAGTTCAACTGTCGTACTCCATCAGAACACAAAATACAAGCTTGTTTTACTCCAATGTTTTGTAAACATTGTAAATGTACACAAACACTGTATAGCCTCAAAACATGGTTAAAACTATCATTTGTATATCATGGATGGTCAGTCCTTGCATCCATAGCTCTGTCTATGAACTTGAGAGTGGTTACATTTCTCCAAGCCCACCCCACAGCTTTTTACCAAAATACAGGTGGGGTGACCACTTTGTTATTGTTTCTACAGACAGACAAACCTCTACCTACCTTGAGCATCACACTCCCCCTTCACTACCTCAACTACCTCCCATTCCATTACAATAAAATCCTTCAAACTACTATGTTGAAGTTGTGTTCTGTACCTAGTGAATGTTTAATATGTCCTATTGTTTTCCATACAGATGGAAGATGTGGTGATTGTAGTGTCAGAGATAGTATGGTGGTTTTTGTTGTGGTGGTCCCCCTGTTAACCTTGGTTGCCTTACTGGTGGTTTGTTGGAAGAAAGACAAAATATGTAAGTTTCTCACATTGTGAATGAATTTCATAAAGTATGTTATTTTTCGTATTGTTATTTTTCTGTGAGATAAACTGAAGTGATTATGGTCATTTCTGAAGAGAGTTGGCATGTTGCAACCTTTTTTCACATCAGGGCATTTATTTTATTTATTTATTTATTTTTATTATTTTTGGGGGGGGAATGGATCAGCTTAATATTGCAGATAGATTGTATCTTCTATCAATGTAATTGTCTGCATCACTTCCAATCCCCCATGTTTTTTATTTTTTATTTTTTATATATATACTCCCCTTTATTACTTTTCAACCCCACCATCCTTTCCCTACTTGGAGTAAATTAGTGAACAACAATGCCCAGGCCTCTACTTCCGGTCTATACTTACTATCTACACCTTATGGACACAGTTAATTTTACAATAATTCTATTATATATATATATATACAGTGCCCTCCACAATTATTGGCACCCCTGTTTAAGATGTGGTCGAGGACTTCCAAAAATTATCTTTTTTTTTTAAACAACATAGAACCCAAATGCAAAAAAATAGAAAAATCCAACCTTTTATTTAAGTACATTACTTTGGTGTAAAAAAAAAAATCACACATATAAAAAAAAAAACTTGAAATCATGTGTCCCACAATTATTGGCACCCCTGATGTTAATACTTTGTACAACCCCCTTTTGCCAACAAGACAGCACTTAATCTCCTCCTATAACATTTCACAAGATTGGAGAACACAGAGAGAGGGATCTTTGACCATTCTTCTTTGCACAATCTTTCTAGATCATCCAGTGTCCTGGGTCCTCTCTTATGCACTCTCCTCTTTAGCTCGCCCCACAGGTTTTCGATTGGGTTGAGGTCTGGGGACTGAGATGGCCATGGGAGGACCTTGAGTTTGTGACTGCTGAACCATTTTTATGTAGATTTTGCCACATGTTTTGGATCATTATCCTGCTGAAAGACCCAATGACGACCCATCTTCAGCTTTCTGGCAGAGGCCATCAGGTTTTTATTTAAAATGTCCTGGTAGTTCAAAGCATTCATAATGCCATGCACCCTAACAAGGTTCCCAGGGCCTTTGGAAGAGAAACAGGCCCACAGCATCACAGATCCTCCACCATACTTCACGGTGGGCATGAGGTGCTTTTCGGCATACTCATCTTTTGTTTTACGCCAGACCCACTTAGAGTGTTTGTTGCCAAAAAGCTCCATCTTAGTCTCATCTGACCAAAGCACACGATCCCAGTTGAAGTCCCAGTGCCTCTTAGCAAACTCCAGACGTTTACGTTTGTGAGTGTTAGTAAGAAAAGGCTTTTTCCTTGCATGCCTCCCAAACAGCTTGTTGGCATGTAGAGAGCGTCTGAAGGTTGTTTTGGAGACTTTGTGACCCCAAGATGCCACTCTTTGATGCAATTCTGTGACAGTGAGCTTAGGACTTTTTTTTACTTCTCTTACCATCCTCCTCACCGTGCGTTGTGGCAAGATAAACTTGGGACCTCTTCCAGCCTTGTTTGTCACTGTTCCAGTTGTTTTAAACTTCTTAATGATTCCTCTGACTGTAGATACGGGCAAGTTAAGGCGAGTGGCTATTTTCTTGTAGCCATTGCCTGACTTATGAAGGTCGACACAAATCTGCCTTACTTGAATCTTGCGACTAGTGACTGCAGGCCGCCCAACAACCTGCCCGCTTGACCCCATCCCCTCCTCTCTTCTCCAGACCATCTCCGGTGACCTTCTCCCCTACCTCACCTCGCTGATCAACTCATCCTTGACCGCTGGCTATGTCCCTTCCGTCTTCAAGAGAGCGAGAGTTGCTCCCCTTCTCAAAAAACCAACACTCGATCCCACTGATGTCAACAACTACAGACCAGTATCCCTTCTTTCTTTTCTTTCCAAAACTATTGAGCGTGCCGTCTTTAGCCAACTCTCTTGCTATCTCTCTCAGAATGACCTTCTTGATCCAAACCAGTCAGGTTTCAGGACTGGTCATTCAACTGAGACTGCTCTTCTCTGTGTCACGGAGGCTCTCCGCACTGCTAAAGCTAACTCTCTCTCCTCTGCTCTTGTCCTTCTAGACCTGTCTGCTGCCTTTGATACTGTGAACCATCAGATCCTCCTCTCCACCCTCTCCGAGCTGGGCATCTCCGGCGCGGCTCACTCCTGGATTGCGTCCTACCTGACCGGTCGCTCCTACCAAGTGGCATGGCGAGAATCTGTCTCCGCACCACGTGCTCTCACCACTGGTGTCCCCCAGGGCTCAGTTCTAGGCCCTCTCCTTTTCTCCCTATACACCAAGTCAATTGGCTCTGTCATATCCTCACATGGCCTCTCCTATCATTGCTACGCTGACGATACACAACTAATCTTCTCCTTTCCCCCTTCTGATAACCAGGTGGCGAATCGCATCTCTGCATGTCTGGCAGACATATCAGTATGGATGACGGATCACCACCTCATGCTGAACCCTGGCAAGACGGAGCTGCTCTTCCTCCCGGGGAAGGACTGCCCGTTCCATGATCTCGCCATCACGGTTGACAACTCCGTTGTGTCCTCCTCCCAGAGTGCGAAGAGCCTTGGCGTGACCCTGGACAACACCCTGTCGTTCTCCGCTAACATCAAGGCGGTGACCCGATCCTGCAGGTTCATGCTCTACAACATTCGGAGAGTACGACCCTGCCTTACACAGGAAGCGGCACAGGTCCTAATCCAGGCACTTGTCATCTCCCGTCTGGATTACTGCAACTCGCTGTTGGCTGGTGTCGTAGTAAATATATTATGTTATAGCTTGGTCTGACTAAAATCTTGTGCATGACCCATCTTGTGTTGGGCCTTTGTATTTAATACAATGCACAAAGACTTCTATCTTGTCGGCCTTATCAGCAGGTGGCTATGGACAACACCCACGCCATAGGTCTCTCAGTTCTCCCAAACTCACGACTTCTTGCTCTGAGGACATACACACACACCCCCACACACACTCACATATACACACACACACACACACACACACATCATCATTGTTAAACATACACACACATACACACACACACATACACACATACACACACACACACATACACACACATACACACACACACACACACACACACATACACACACACACACACATACACACACATACACACACATCATCATTGTTAAGCACACACACACAAAAACCCCCTTCTCTTAGGCTGAACATCTGAAGACAGAGAACCCGACTCAGAGCCAATGCAATGGAGGTGACCTCGACCAACTCATCAGGACCAATCAGAAGATCACTACTAGAATCAACCTACTTTATTTTATTGTATAAAATGTCAGCACACAATGTTTAGGGGCTCGCTCTCAGATATCTCCCTACGAGATTGACGAACGGGTCCGTGCACGCTATTTACAGATATCTTTACCTCTGAATAAACTGCCTTATATTATACAATCATCCACCTTGTCCGAAAGTCTCTACTTGGTCTCCGTTCTCCAGTAAACTTGTGATCATCAACACTGGGCTCCCTGCCTGTGCCATTAAACCCCTACAACTCATCCAGAATGCCGCAGCCCGTCTGGTGTTCCACCTTCCCAAGTTCTCTCACGTCACCCCCCTCCTCCGCACACTCCACTGGCTTCCAGTTGAAGCTCGCATCCGTTACAAGACCATGGTGCTTGCCTATGGAGCAGTGAGGGGAACGGCACCTCCGTACCTTCAGGCTCTGATCAGTCCCTACACCCAAAAGAAAAAATAAAATAAATAAATAATATATATATATAATAATTGTAAAGTGGTTATCCCACTGGCTATAGGGTGAATGCACCAATTTGTAAGTCTCTCTGGATAAGAGCGTCTGCTAAATGACGTAAATGTAAATGTAAATGTTGAATGGTGTGTTCTCTTGTCTTTGCCATGTTGACAAATGGGTAAGAGAATTAGGCCTCTGTGTCACGTCATATTTATACCCCAGGGAAACAGGAAGTCATGAATTACTAACTAAAAGTTCCTAGATACCCTGACCAACTTTAGCAACTACAGAAAAATATATTTTTTAAAAAATCAATTAAATTTTTCAGCGGAATTGTTAGGGGTGCCAATAATTGTGGGACACATGAGTTCAAGTTTTTTTTTTTCTAAATGTGTGATTTTTTTTTTTACCACCAAAGTAATGTACTTAAATAAAAGGTTGGATTTTTCTCTTTTTTTGCATTTG